GGGGGCATTTGCCCCCCCTTGCCCCCCCCCCCCCTGGCGCCGCCACTGTATTAGGTATATATCTAGAAAAGGGTATGTATATCGCTGGAAACTCAGTGAGCGTTTTTATGTTGTTACAACAGAATAGTCAGAAATAAATAGTAATTCTTAATCTATAAGCCACAAGTCACTGATGCTGCGAGGTATCCAACGTAGATGGCTCTGCTGACCGAGCCGGCTGAGTATGTGGCCTAAATATGCCTAAATCTGTTGGTCGCAGAGGACTGGGATCGACGGAAGCATTGCCATTGCGTAGATATATGACCCGGTCGGCCGCATGAGAAACAGGTAAAACGAGACAAGGGATTTGGCCTCTGCTGATCTCGTGAATTAGGTTGGGATCCCAACGATGGCGTCTCAGGCTTTGAGGACTCAAACGTTTGCCTTGTCAACTTTGCAGACTGTGTCCAAAATTTTGCCATATTTTTTGTCTGCAAGGAGGGCCGTGTAGTATGTTTTGAACTGCTGAACAGAACAAGACAGCTTCTGACGCAAGGTAGAAGCTTAATAACATCATACGGTGCTGACTTCGGATGCGACATCGACCGAGGGGCCACCACCAGTTGCTCTTACAACCGCAACGCCTCGTACTTATCGAAATCATCAGAGCGTCGGAACCCATATCGTAGTTCGTTATTCGCGCCAACATGACTTCGACGCTGCTGACGTTCTGGGAGTCTTCCAACACCTTTATGCGTTAAAGAACGGTTATTGAAGAGACGGTTGCTATTGTATAAACCAAAATGGTACGTGTCAAAATATAACCGAAATTTATACTAGTGGGAATAATAGTATAAGCAGCTAAACCAAATCCACTTCAATAAATTAATAAGAAGAAAACAGCAACTCAACTAATCTTAACGTCGAGGGAAAGCAAAACAATACGAACGAAAGCCGCAACTAGATAACTGAAGCCCAACATGGGAAAATACTTGAAATGAAAGCATACAGTCGATCAGGGTGCTTATACTGCATGTATAGACCGTGTAGTGTCGAAATTACTTACCAGGCCCCGCATCGCACGTCGATCATTGAAATCACTGGCGTTGCGCCGCCCTGTAAATAAACGCCTTCCAGCAGATGGAGAAAATACGACAAAATAATCACAACGATTCGAGGGATAAATCTGGAGGAAAGAGATCGAAACAGCAACCCTACAAAGTTTACGCCAAGGCAAACGTGTGACTGGTACGTGTGAGGCAAATACAATTAAAAGCGACTTACAGAGCGAAGCCTGACACGGCAAATACAATATGTTTCAACACTCGAGGAATAAATCCCGAGGAAAGTCTTTGAAACAACACTTACTAACACTCGACAATTTTAACTCGTCGAGAAAAATGTGAGGCAAATACAATTCAACAATTTGCCGCAAAGGCTAGACAATGCAAACACTCGAAAAGCACACTGCAGTTCGTGGCAAATAGGACAAAAGTTCTCACAAGGATATTTTCAACACTCGAGGAATTTCTACGTCGAGGAAAATGTGAGGCAAATACAACGCCGCCATTTTTGGAGAACTTTTTTGCCAATCCTGCGAGCGTTACACCCACTGGTTACACCACGTAACGGCGACAATTTTGTGGGTGTATGATGGTAAATTTACTCTGTAAATAGTTAGTTTGTTCTGAAATATTGCTTTTCACATTGTTATAATCGTTTACGAAAAATTACAGTACCCCCAAAAAATGGCAGTGTGAGAAAGGCTAAAAAACAACTTGTCGTTCGAGGCCAGACAATGCAAACACTCGACAGAAAATATATAGTAACAGTAGTCAATCCAGGTCACCCCCTCGGTCAGCTGAGCTAACACCTAACCAACCAAACGGGTAAGTATGGGCATGGATAATAAAATAAATGGATAGGAAACTAGCTGACGTGACCTAATGTTTTCAATGAGCTGATGGCGTGGTTGGATGTTGAAACTTAGTTGCAAACCAAATTCTAAAAACGGCATGTTTGGCAATAATACAGCTAAACATTTTAGTCAAAGAGCAAATAAATATAACTACGCCATTCTACGATGAAATTTCTAAGTATTCCCAGTCAATTTTAGCAAATATTTCAAGCACCAAACAGTGAAAAATTTCGTTAAAATTGGGGACGCCAATTTCGTAGCTACAAATGTAAAAAAAAAAAAACAAAGACGAAAAATATTTACCTTGAATACTTTGTCGTGGCTTAGGCGTGTTTTTAAAACAATTAGACCAGTTCATGCAAATGCCGAGAACTTTGCAATACGCGTGACGTCACAGATTGCAACTAAGTTGTTTTTGCTTACGTCGACTAGAATCCTATCCATTTATTTTATTATCCATGGTATGGAGAACAAGGTGTTAAGTCCCTGCCATGCATGCCCTTACGTTTGGGTTTAAGGTGTCGTATTTCCCTTGAACTGGGTTTCGGTCTAAAGTTTGAATTGTATCTGAGTTAAGGAAATTGCTACGTGAAGAATATAAGTTTTTTTTAGCAAAAATGACGTCACTGCCGTTGCCATGGTAACCATGACGGTTTAATAATATGGCCGATTTCTTTGCTAATTAATTTTACTAATTTAACTCGAAAAACAACGGTGACCCCCATTTTTTATTTTGTTCAACGTTTTCAATTAGTGAAAATAATTAATTAGCCAACTTTTAAAACTTCGCCATAGTAGAATTTTTTTAAATCACAAAATAAATCTACACTGACCATTTTTTTTAAGAGTAAAACACAGTTAGACCTATTGTAGAATAGCTGGAAATGTACTTTTCCGCTTGTAATTTTCAAAATTTTCTGCGGCGGCGGGAGGCATAGCCAATATGCAGACCCCATAGATTACTACCTTTGCCACAGCGAACAAAATGCATGCACATCTTCAAGTACAGTAGAATAGTTTTTGTTTCAGCTCATTTATGTGGTGAAATAATTATTGGGAACTATAGTAGTCTGGCTTGAAAACAAGGGATTGCTGCATGCATATATTTCTAGTTTGTTTGTCTTATTTACTTCCTGGCCATTTTTATGTCCGCGTTTTTAGGTTTCCATATCCGCGTGTCCGTGTCCCCGTGTCCGCCCTGAGTAATCTTCCTATTTCCGATTGCCACGTTTGTTGAACCGAGCCCGCAAACAATAAACATTTTCTTGTCGTATTCAAATTAAAATATATTTAAAATTCTTCACATAAATAAACCTTTATAAATAAAAAAAGGCGACGTTCACGACGTAAGATTTACAAGATAAGATTTCATGAACTTTAACTATGTTTCTTCCCGATTTCAAAGATTACGAGAGTACATTTACTATGGAATGAGACATCAAGGCTGTATTTGAAAAAAACTTAATATATTATGGCTTCTAGTACCAGCTCTGGCAGCTCAAAGGTATATATAAAAGTGTTATAATCTTAGATATGATTAATACAATATACAGTATTCATTATATTCTGTCGTAAATGTTATCACAGCGTTATTTACATTATATTTTGAAAGTGTACAAGGGACTCAAACTAATAATATAAAATCTGAGATTTCTACACAAAGCTATTTATAGTCAATGAAATGATGTTATTGATATGATTTAATAATATACAGTAAGGAGCCAGTAACCCGCTAAAATTCATAACCTAACCCCCCTCTCTCCCACAATAGACTTTAGTTTCCTGTCCCCCACCATCTTGGCCCGGCAAAGTGAGCTAGCCCGGTTTAATGGGCCAGCCCGGCTCATATGAACAGGCTAGGGGTGCACCGGAACCAGTTTTTTAAGTTCCGGCCGGAACTGGATCCGACCGGAACTGGAAAAAAGTTCCGGCCGGAACCGGAACTAATTTATTAAGCCATATATAGTCATATGTTACTTTGTCTGCTGCCAGACCGGCAGACACTTCAAGTCATAAAGGAGAGAGCTGGCAAATGTTAGAATAAAAAGATTGACAAGCGTTAAACGTCATAATCAAGTGTTAGTAGTGTACATTTCCCTTGCGTAGTCCAAATTTCTTCCTACTGTGACCTTTTGTTAGACACAAAAATGTTTGATATTCTATATCTCTGAAAACAACAGAGTTCCGGTTCCGGCCATGCTTTTTTTACCAGTTCCGGCCGGAACCGGAACACTAAAAAATCGGGGTTCCGGTGCAACCCTAGAACAGGCCCTAAGAGTAACGAAAATCCACAGTTTTCAATTAATCTATCTTTCAAGAAATACATATTTATAATTAATACATAAAAATCGAAATAAAATTGTTGATACTTTTACTACAGCAACGACCGAGCTAGTCACTTCTGTTACACATTTTGATTTTCGAACGTAATAAAAGGATTTAATATCCTGGCTTTCATTTTAGCCTGCTCGCAGCCTGAAATTTTCCCCTTCTAAATTTCTGGCTGTGAGCAGGCTACTTTCATTTCTGCATACAAAAAACCAAAACATTCCGTAGAAACGTGGCTGAATGGAAATGTGTTTCTATTTTATGGAATACTGAATGGGTCGTCTCAGATTCTTTCAGACACCATTCATTTGGATAATGGAAATGGACCGCCCACCCGCATGTAATTTGAAATAAGAGCCGGACGAGAAACTAAAGTCTAATTTGAAGTGGCCTAATGTCTGAAGTGTTGATTTTTTATAAAACGTTAAACTCATCTCACAAATACACCTCCTCCACAGGGGGGGGATTTGTGGGCATTTTGAGAAAGGTAGGAAAACACCTGCTGAAGTGTCGATAGTCTGGTTTGCCCAGAAAATCCGGTTGAAAATTATCCATTCATTGTGATATAAACCATGTTTTTTTTGTTTTGTCTACCCTTGTTGTACAGTATTTCTCAAAAGTCATGATAGACAGCAGCGACAAAGAACGTTTAAAAATGGAAGATTTTATCATTGATGTTGAACTTGAAAAGATTATCCAGCAGGAGATTCCCCGCCTTCCTGCATTTGTCACAAATACCGTAAACCTCTGAATATAAGATATGATGGTCTGGACTCTGGAGGCTGGAAAACGCCAAAGCCCAAAATACATGCATGATCTTTGTTTGATGTTGAACTGTACCTCATTGTGCACAAATCCTTTGTTTCAACTTCATGACCTATTATTCAACGTGGTTGCATGTTTCATATCAGCTAACCCTATTGGACGATTGCTTCATTGTATAAAAGTATGAAGAGCTCAATCATCGTGACCTTGCACAAATAAACATAACCTCAGGAAAAATAATAACATCTGTTTACTGTAGTTTCCAGTTCATCATATTCATGGTAATTATTATGTTCTGATAGATACAATCACTTCATCCTAACACTAGCTGATCCTCATCCTAACTTGTGATCTGGTAGGACTCTTTCTACCCCCATTAGATTAACTGACATTAACCTGAGAACCTGGGAGTGAGACCCAACATGTGGTAAACAAATGTCTAGTTAGATCACTAGATAGACTTTCCCAAAGTCCTTTCCACTTCTCTGCTTGATATCACCGATTTGCTATTCGAGATCGACTTGTGGGCAAGTGTAATCACTAGACTACAGGGGCTGGTTGTATGAATTAAATGCTATCCACTGGATAGTGAAATTTTTATTTCATTTTTAGATCTAAAATTTTTATTTAAACATATTTTTGGTCAAAATGTGTTTGCCCAAAGAGCGTACACACTCATCTAGGGGGCTTACTTGTTACAAATTAAAAATACACTGCCACGTTAGGTGTCAAGAATTGGTAGAAATGTCAGTAGAATGAAAACGTGCTGTTTCTTTAATATAAGTCTGAACATAAGAAAATATTGCCATGTTGTATTCCAACGACAGCATGTGAGTACCAAAAAAATTTTTCATAATTTGTTTATCCGTCAATCTTGCATGACCACCCTTCGGGAAGTTTCTCGCGGCAGCGGAGAAGAACAGCTTAGACCTTTGGGCAGCAAGTATTGAACAGTAGAGAAAATAATGTTCTATAGATTCAGTGTGATAACTACACCTGCATGATGGATACATTTTACAACGTATACTATACAAATATAAATTGAGTGCGCACACACCTAGATGCAAACGAGTATGGAAGATAGAAGAATGCCTATCATTTGCAAAATTGTTTGTTGATTGGTATAATACAGATTAAACTTTTAATTAGTATTTGTTAAACCGTAGTAGCTTTTTCAAGCAATGTTACAATGGAAACATTGAAATTTGATCGATCACAATGTGTGGTATCACGTTAGTATATATTGAAACTACAAAGAGAATGAGGAAAATATATCTGTACTAATGTACAGTATATATTTCCCTCATTCTCTTTGTAGTTTCAATATATAGCATTTGCATATTCGGTTTGGGTTTCTCAAGAAGAACCATTATAGTAAACGGTTTATTTTCCCACTGATGAATAAATAAGAAGCAAATGTGCATAATATACAATCTGGTAACGGTAGGGTTAAGAGATATATTGTCATTTGATAAATTCATACAGATTTTGCCTCATGATTTTAATCCTACACAGAACAAAACAGATTGCATAAAATACGTATGTGGTAGCATCATTGGTATGCATTGTAGTATACAGAATCATATATTGCTAACTTTAACTGAAGTTGTATTTAATAGCCATTATTTAATATGACAATTACAGTACGTTATATGGGTGTGATTGCGTGCTTGCCACTTGCTCCTAAACAATGCTTGTGAATTGTGATCTTTGGGACCAGACTTGTCGCCCCTTCTGTCGCCCCTCCTGTCCCCCCTCCTGTCCCCCCTCCTCCCCTAGTGTCCGCCACTGGTGATTGTGAACGCAACGTTCCAGAACCTTGGACAACACACAGAGTGGAGAAATCGGCTGGTATAGTTATGAGAGTGTTGGATCGTCCTTTTTAAAAAAAGAGAGTAATATTGGCGCGTTTCCATTCCGTCCAGTTAGCCTCGCTCAGTTGGTTAAAGCGCTGCACTGGAGTCGCAGCCCCACATGCTCGATTCTTTCCAGAGGGGCAAAAGTTGCATTTTTCGCAACTGCTCCTGGTTAGGTCGTATAAATGTATAAAATTTACACTCGAAATTTCCATCTACAAAATCTTCTACAATTAGCTTTATCGAGTGAGATGCCTAAAATCCTGATATTTAAATGTTCTTGCATATTAAATACAGTAACTAGGACGCCACCAGTGGACTCACAGTATCCCTTAGAGATTTCATGAGCTCATGATTGCTAACAGCTTGCGTCGTATCTTCAAGTCACAAATATTGTTGATCTTCCTTATTTTATTCACAACAACTTCCAGGTCTGTAACACTACAGCTGCTTCCTATCACTCACTCAGTACGCTTCTGATTGGTTAATATAATTATGTGATTGGTTAATTGGTAACTTAATCCATTAAGTTGCATTGCGCTCTAATGCGACCTACTTTATAAACTTTATTCTGTCAAACGCCAAACGATTTTATTTATCAAGGGCAGAGCACTGGCGTTCAATCAGTTAATTTGGTTGATTGCTTTGAACATTTGGTACACGAATCACCACAAGAAATCAGCATTTTCGAAGGATATTTTCGCTTTCGCTCGTCACCCCTGCTTTGTTTTAACGGGTTATCCATAGAGGGAATGATATGGTTAAAGTTTTGTTACTGCCTCTTATTGTAGCTGCTATATTAAACATATTATAATTCAGTGGTCAGATAGTATTTTCTTAAATCCCATGCTCAGGGTTTAATACAATCTCACACTTATCCATAAATGCGTTGTATGGCGCAGCCAGGAAGTTTTTAAAAATGTTGGTCTTTGTTCTAACAAAAGCTTTTTTTGGACGTTCAATGTATAGCCTCAATCATGATGTCTACTGTGCATGCACAAACTGTATACACAATTTAATTGATTTATAATTTACAGTTTACTACTGTTTAAATCATGGCCAATGATTGGAGTAAACGTTTATTATATTTCTAGTTGGAAAATTTAGCAAAAGAGGATCTAGTGAAATACATCAAGAAGCAATCTTCTCAACTCAAACAATTCAAGTCAAAATGTGAAGGTATAGTGGTATACAGTATTAAAACATTCTATATTTCATATATACTAACTACAGAGTTACTATAATTGTAATATAAAGTATATATAAAAGGCATAATATTAGCCTAATTAAATAAAAACACGTAGAGCAGTTAGACAACATGTTAAGAAGAGCAGCATGATTTCACAGGATTTTATCAAAAGTGGGATGCGAATTTTTTATAGAGGGAAAGGTAGTGTTAACCAGTTATGTCCACGATCGTACAGTATGTATAACAATGCTGTAAGCCAGGCTTCGTACAAAACGTGAAAGTCCTCGAAAAGAAAGATTCAAGGTCTTAAAAGTCCTTGAATCTATAAAGAAATACTTGAAAGTCCTTGAATTCTTCTTGCTTTTAGTTCTTGAATATTTTCTGAAATTTGTTTGACATTTTTTTAATTGATTTTGTTCATGTATTTTAAATTCATTAATTTGAAAATTTTAACGTCACTTTTTACTGATTTCTAACGCCTTCTTTTCAGCCCTTTAGTCCTTGAATTTCCTGATACATGGCCTTGAAAATTCCTTGAATTTTACTTAATTTCCTAACTTGCACGAATTCTGGCGAAGCTGACTATACCAACTGGTCGTGCTATGCAAATTTTAAATATTTGCAATATTCAAACCCAAAACTATTATCTTTAATTTATTTTGGTGCAGGTTTATTAGCGTAGCATGACCATTTGCGGCTCTCAAGGAAGAAAGTTTGGAAGAACTGCAATGCATGTGGAATTACTTTAAATGAAAAAATCCTATAATATTTCCCAGTCCGAACATTCTAAAAACTATAAAATAGAATTACTAAAATTTAATGTAGATTTACAGACACAGCTTCGAGATAAAGAAAGTAATGTCCAGTCTCTTGAAGAAGAGAAAGCTGCGTGGCTATCACGTGGTGTTCAAGCAGAATTTGAGAAAAAAGAAGAGGTACTGTATAATAAAATGTATAAGTATATATATAAGTATATTTTGGGGGATATCCCCTCGTTGCCTCAAAATAACGTACTTATATATTTTTCACATTGGCGAGGTTGCATTTTAGGAGACATAATAAAAAGAAATTCGTTATGAAAGACATTAATAAAACGAGTCCCAAACACTGATCACTTTTGTTTCAGAAAGAAAAAGGCAAAGCATGATGATTAGGCATATTAGAGGGGAATATTAGAGGAGAATATTACAGGAATCATTAATCTATTGTTTTGCCTTTGAATTTGGTCATTGTTTTCAGTCCCGCTCTACCCTGTTGAAATCAAAAGCCGCCCCCAGCTTTTGACACACTTAACTGGCAGGGAATATTAAATATATTTTCTCTAAAGAACAAAGGAGACCGAGTAATGTGAAAAATAAGTTTAGTATACAACGAATTTGGATTGAGCGTTTCAGACCTTCCGGTTTCAGGATTGTTTTGCCTTAAAAAGATTTGTAGATTGTTAGTTGTTAATGTTAACGTCACTAAGTGTAAAATGGCACGCATTTTAAGATAAATATGTAGCCGAGAATGGATTATAAAATGATATCAGGGTTGTACCCATGGTGGGCGGTACTGGGCGACAGTCTCTAGCACTCAACAGTGCGTAGCTCAATTGCAAGATGATGGTTACAATTTTTTCATACTTCAGGTTTCTGCAAAAAATGAAGAGTTGCAAATGGCAGCTGAACTTGGCAAACAAATGCTGGAAAAGAACGATGAACTACAAGGAGAATTAGAAAGTTTACAACAAAATCATTCAAATCTTCTGCAAGTGAGTCATTGTAGTGAGAGTTGTTCAAAATTACCGCTTTCTGAAAAAATGTATCAATTTCCTGTGCGTAATACAAAATGACTGAAAAACGGCAAACGTCTCAGGGCTGTATTATCCGCATTTTACAACATTTCGCAACGAAACGTCGGAATATTACTAATTTTGTGATGCTCTTTTAAGCTGTCTAGACTTGTCTAGATCAAAATTTTGTTCATTAGGTAATAGGTCCATTTATAGCCTACAGTATACCAATGCCTTCATGGTTGGAAACGTATTGATACAGCTTTGTTACACAGTTACTCATCAAACATTATTGGGGGTAGTTGTGCCCCTTGCCCTCTCCCCTCCATCTAGTTTCGCCACTGAACCAACCAATATCTTTACTGTGATTAAACACGGACACGTTTTTTAGAGAGGGTTGGCTTTTATACTGTAAAATGCATGCGTTACAGCTGTAAATTGAACTATTTTATTAACCAACGTTACTAATTTTAATTAAATGTTCTATGTCAGGAACTGAAGGCAATAAAGTATGAAAGAGATGAACTTAAACGTTCAGTGCATTCTTCTCGTCAGGTATGCTGAAGGATAATTTTAGATTACCAAGCAATTTTAGTGACACATAAAGTAGTTTTAGATCACAACAATTAATTGAGTTTGTCGTATTAGCAAGAAGAACGTGAATCTATCAGTGCTGAAGAAAGTGCCAGGCTTTTGGATAAGATAAAGGTATTAATTATGCTGAACACTTAATTTAGTGCTAATGTATGTTGTTTTGTTTCATGGTGCATGTGTTGTTAGTTACCCTGTGGACAGTACAAAATTGTAGCAACTTATATGATATATTTGGACATATTACATGCATATCGGTATAGAGACTCACCCTTCTCAATGTTGTATCCCTACACACAGAGTTGCAGATGCCAAAACGATTTCAACTTTGTTTTTGGGCAGTGGGGGCATGAATCATAGCATTAAATTCACCCTGGATGCACATGAGGATAAATTGTGCACATGATTTTGACCTGGATTGTAGATTTGTAGTTACAGTAGGTTTTGTGTAATGTATTTTGTTTTATTATATGTTATTCTATGTCATAATAGTAGTTATGTTGTCTTTGTGGTATGTTACCTATTATACTTAGCCCCCTTTTCTCCATATCAACTGCATGTCATTATTTAAATGAAGGAATTGCAAGTAGAACGAGAAGAAACTTTGGAAAAATTAGAGAACTTGACATCAGAACGAAACCAGTTGAAACAAACGTGTAAGGTAAGTGTATACGTATATGAAACTTTGTATATGTATATAACGAATCTATTGCAGAATCCAGATCGATACTGTTAGATAATGATATACAATTACTTCATGGTTTCCGTGTTTGGATGGCCTGATCCAAACACGGGTTTCGACCAATTAGAGTACGCGTTATATACATAATTGTCATGTTATTTTATAATGCAAATTCTAAATTGATCCTGGTGTATAGTTACATAGGTAGCTTATGCATGTTTGTACCTCATGGAAGTTCTAATATTGGTGACGTTCATCACGCAAAGAATAAATGACTCCAAACATGTTATCGTTCGCTACTCTGGTTTAGGTGTAAATGAATGCAATCCCCGAGTAAATTACATTCAACACTCATTGCTTCGATATTTCGGCCCACTGTGGTATCTTCACGATCAGAAATTGCGGTCACAAATTAGCACCTATGATGAGCTTGCTCATCTTAACTGAGCATGCGTACATGCTGTTTTTTCGTTATACCGTAGGATTTAAAGAAGAGGATGCATGTTCTTGAGAGTGATGTGGAGAGATTGAATAAAGGAAAGAAACATCCAGCAGAAAATAAGATCCATGATCTTACTAACGAGAAAATGGTGAGAAATGTTCTCAGGTCATCTTATTGTTTATATAACGTACCTACTGTACTGCATGTGTTTGGTAAAGCAATGTGTACATGCATGTAAGGTCGGATCTGATGAAGATTTTGGTGGGTGATACACTCCACACCTTAAAAAAATTGTTTGGTGAAACTAAGATTCTGTTCATAACGACATTTTTTAACGGGAAATTGATTGAAAATTACATTTTGTGAATTGGTTATAGAGTATCTTTGTCGGTAAACTGTCGAAAATATAGACCCCCTTCCCCCATTAAACTTGGCCTTGGTATGCCACTTCTGCCAAACATAAAATCTGATATTTGAACTTTCTTGCAATCTTCAGAATAGCTTACACATGTAAATCATCGCACGATTGTGTTACATAAAGACAACTTCTCTATTCAATCCTATCTCTATGTTTGTTTTTGTTTTATTCAGTTTTTTATTAATACATCTATCAACAGCCGTAGTAAAATACTTGTCAGACGCGTTATTAGATAAAAGCTTATGATGAGACAATTTTGAGAGGATTCTTTAATCTTTGCTATAATGGAAATGAAACAAAATAAGATATGGAATTGAATGATGTATAATTTACCTATTTTCGAACGTGTTGTTGCTGCATTTATGGCTATAGTATAATTGCACAATGTCACTACATATACTTGTTTATACTCGGTCTGTGCCAGTGTAGGTAGAGACGATAATAACATAACTGCAGATTACGAGAGATACATGCAACTACATGAAAAATACAAGCAGAGCTTCGACGTTTCGAGCGAAGGCTACTAACTTCCCTACGAAGGGCCTTCGCTCGAAACGTCGACGTTCTGCTTGTATTTTTCAGGTAGTTGTATTTCTCGTAATCCGCAGTTATATCTTGTGTGCTATTTACTTGCTTTGTATTCAGGAATTAATGTCAAAAATTGAAATGTTGGAAGAAGACCGAACAGAAATAATCAAAGAATTTGAAGACTTGGGAGAATTCATGACACGACTGGAACAAGAAAACAAGGTATTTGACTTTTGCTTTTTACGAATTGATATGTTCACATGTTGTAATTTTTGCCAAAATACTGTAGGCTGTTTGTGGTGTTACTCTGAGTGTGCATCCACACCGGGCAAGCTGAAAAGTTTGCCTGACCACGCGGTGGGAATCGAACCCGCGACCTTTTGGATACTAGTCCAATGCTCTACCAACTGAGCTACGCGCGAGGTCTTGTTGGTTCGAGTTGGTGATATTTCGGAACTGAGTCTAGTTCATTCGATATCAATGTATTCTAAGATATGATACTTAGAATACAGTGATATCAAAGGAACTAGACCCAATTCCGAAACATAACCAACTCGAACCGACTTAACCTCGCGCGTAGCTCAGTTGGTAGAGCATTGAACTAGTACAGTATCCCAACCGTCGCTGGTTCGATTCCGAGCGTGGTCAGGCAAACTTTTCAGCTTGCCCGGTGTGGATGCACACTCGGAGTAACACATGCACAAACATCATATTCACCTACAATCCTGGCAAAAACTAATGAAACATCCAGTTTGATTAACAATTTAATTTATTCTTCCCCCCTTTCCCGCTTCCAATGTTGATTAAGTCATGAGCAAGAAACCTCCACATAGTGCTCTCTGCCATCGATGAACTATTGTACACAATTTTTTAGAATCTATGTCCAACATTGTGCAGGGGGGAATGGATTTTGTCTGTTTTATTGATTTTTTTATAGGTGTTTCATTAACTTTTTGCCAAGATTGTAGTATAGTGTACTGTAGGCTGTTGTGATATTGAAAAAAGATCAAATACCAGATGATATTGATATTACGAATTGCTTACATGTATATGTTCGGAATAGCGTGAGCGTTAGTGAATATGGTGGGCTTATACACGCGAGGAGGGGGGAGGGCTTATATATATTCGGGGGTTAACGGGGGTTATTCCTATGCACTTACACAATGATTACAATGAATAATTATATAGGGTTACCCCAACACGTATTTGCCAATGAGATTATTATATGAATGTTATATAGGATCAAAAGTCAAGATTAGAACTTCTGACAAAGGAAAAAGAACAAGCTGATGGAAGAATACATAATCTTAGCGAAGAACTGGATAATTCACGAAAAGATGCTGGGGTAGGAATAACAATTTGATTTGTACTGTATTAGTATTTATTATATAGTATAGAGAGTGAGATACTGAAAAATACACAGTGAGATATTTTCCATATATTCACTAGTGAAGATATCGATCACGTAACAATTTGCTTTTGAGCGTGAAATTTCACAATATTTTGCTTGGGACTATATAATAAACAGAACATTACACGGTGGCTTGAAGATATGACTTTTATCTTCTCGTGTTAAAAATTTGAGCACTCGAAGATAAAAGTCATATCTTCGCGCCGCCGTGTAATACCCTCTATTTATTATAGTGCTATACTGTATATAATTTACAATCTTAGTTTTTTATATCGGCCTATTTGGTCGGGACGACTAATCTTAATTACTGTCAGTATCTCCTTTATATGCTCCTTAGTCAATAATTTAGTCCAACCAGAAACGCCAGGATTTCTCATTGATATTGTTATCTCGAAGACTGACATAAAAACGTTTCGTATTTTCACGTTTTTTAAATATAGTTACGTCTTTTTTATGTATTCGGCATATCAAGACACATTAACTCTTCGTATATGTAGCTGCCATCGTTGTTTTATTGGGTTCTAGTCTGCGAACAGACCAAAGGTTTTATTATTTTTAATGTACAGAGTTTGTAAGTACAAGTCGCTGATTGGCTATGAGGTAACAAACAACACAATAAATCATTACACTTTCGCGCACGATAGCAATATATTTGCGCCTGCGCGGATAAAAAACAATGGACTTTTAAATGGATAAAACTCCTCATTAGATTGACAGTATATAGGAAAGATGCAGAGTACATTCCTCATCCTTGAGTTTGTGAGTAAACTGTATTGGAATAATTTCGTTATTTTCAGGAATTAAAAGAACGTTTAGATAACTATGGGAATGACCAAGAAGATATTCAATCAACTTATCAGAATATGCAACGTGAGCAACTTGAAACAAGAAACAAAAACGAGGTAATTTATTTGTTTTGCTTCACACGAAGCTGTATATTTAGCTCAGTAATAGTAACTGAATCCCACATATAGGGCTCGAACCTGCACTACTGCAGTAATCTTCCGATTTGCTTGTCTGTCGTTCTGTCATTAGGCTCTTTGCAGTTAACTAAAAATATTTTAGAACAATAAGTCACTGGAGAGCTGTGGGATTTGTAAATAAAGAAGTGAAACAAATATATATATATATATATAGATGCTGTTATGCAAAGTGTTTTTAGGCCACCTGCAAAGAGCCTATATTGAGCTATAAAATGGAACTTGCACATACACTGTTGTATAATGTACTTGTTGGTCAACAAGGAATTAACGAGTTACCTTTTGGCCCAAAATAAGGCAACATGTTTCCCAGGAAACTAGCAATGAACATGAGTACTGCTCAGCATTACAGTATGTCATTTCCATTCCTCGCGTTGCCAGTGCGTTCCAAATAGCGTTTCGTTTCGGACGCGTTGGAACACAGTTGAACGGTTACTTTTGGGTGGCACTCCACTGTTTTACGCTAAGTCAACAAATTAGCGATAGTTGATATTACAGTATGCCAATTCATAGAGTGTGCGACGCAAGTTGATTTCTAACATTACTCTGTAGCATAATGCCAATCGCAATTTGGGTAAATGTGCGGTAGTGAGTTTTCAAAAATATGATTTCATTTTGGGATTTTATTTCTCTAGGAATTAAAGAAACAAATAGAAGAATTACTGTATAGTAAGAATGACTTAGCTAATTCCCTGAGTTTGATAAGTGGACAAAACAATGAACTTGGAGAAAATAACGTGGAGTTAAAAACAAAATATGAAGAAGTGGCACACGAGCTTGCTGAAATGAATCAAAGAAACAAGGTAGTAGCCATACCAGCCTGAGGAGAATCAACATCCACAGAGCATAGTTTGTTGAAATGTGTATTTCTGTTTTGTTTAGGAATTGTCGGTTCAGTTGCAAACCGTAAATCAAGAATATTCTCAGATAAAGAACATTAATAACAATATTCGCCAGAAACTTGAAGCAGAAGAGAGACATAAAAGCGTAAGTACAGGCAGTATTTTCACGTTTAAGCAGAAGTTTAAGAACTTTTTGACTTTACTGATGTATATACAGGTAGTTTTTCGCTCGAAATTCCCTTCCACGAGAAATGCCCATGCAAGATTTTCAATAATTAATCTAGTTTAGGCTCATCCTCTCCAGAGGGAATACATTACCATGTCAGTTCGGTTCTGCTTGCGTCAGGAGACGTTATACTGTATACTGTACAGTATATTTTTTAAATAATCCAATGTAAGTCTGCACGTATTGTGAATGTTCAAGCTATGAATAGGGTATTAATGATAGCTATCTTTCACCAGAGGTCATCCCTTGTCAGTACACCCTTTCGATAATTACGTCATTTGGCCTGGGAGCCTCGCTCTCATGAATTGTGAGCCAATCACCTTGCGTAATTTACTAATGAGAGCGAGGCTCCAGGACGAAAAATGATGTGTGACATAATTATCGAAAGGGTGTGATGTGTGTATATACAGTACGGTGAGCTCTATAAATGTACTGTATATCTGGAGTAAGAACTTCAGTCATTCGGCTGTGAGAAAAGTGAAGCCAAGATGGTGGAAGTTGACGTCCAAAATCTACGCAAGTCGCAGACAGTTGTCATACCATTTTCCCCAGCTAATTCTATTTTTTCTAACGGATTGTATCGCTATAATGAAGTTATCATGCAGTTCATAAAACCATAATATTATTCTTTGAATCAAAACACGAAATTTCGACACATTTCGTGCCAATCTCGCAGACAATAAATAGAAAGGGACTGGCACTGGCTGTCAATGGCACTGGCTGCCGCCATTTTTTGCTTCACTTTTAGGACGCGTGTACTTAATACTCCAGATATATATGGAGTGCACTGTGTATATAGGAGCTACATTAGATCACTCATGTGAGTTTGAAGACACTAGATTAGAGTGTCGAAACGGATCGTGAATTTAATTAGAATATGCATGGCCAACAGCATGGGTATAATATTCATTTACTTAAACCAGAATAGCGAAACATATTTGAAGTAAAATACATGTACACAACAATAGTAACTCCGAATATTGAAAGCATTTTTATTTTCTACGTTTCGATTTAGTCATCTTCAGGAACGGATTGTCGAAACGTAGAAAATAAAAATGCTTTCAATATTCAGATGTAGGCTACCGTTGTTGTGTATTTTATGAGAATACTCAGTGGTTCCCGTAATATTTGAAGTGTAAACCATGTTTTAAAATCTGCCAGTTACACAGCCAGCACTGTTTTAGTATGTCAGTCAAATTCTGCCTTGCACGTCACGTCGACAACTCTTGTTCATTGAAGTATTACGAAAATCACCGAACTGTGGAATCGCATCAAAAATTCGTATATCGACCACTCCCACAAACGTCTACGACCACGCCTACATTCGACTACATAGTTTTGCATGTTTACAATTCTAATTTTGAACAGCCAATCAGGTTCTTGGTAATTGGCTGTTTAAAATTAGAATTGTAAACGTGCAAAACTATGTAGGCGCGGTCGTAGACGTTTGTGGGAGTGGTCGATATACGAATTTTTTATGCGATTCCACAGTTCGGTGACTTTCGTAATATAAAACCTTTAAAACATCAGGCACTTGTCCTGATTTGATCATATCACCGTTACAATCCGTTTTTCTGGAATCCAAATTACAACTACTTTTTGTTTTGTAGAATGTTAATGAAGAAATAGAAAAATTAAAAGTTGAAAAAGAAAAGTTTACCAAAGCATGTCGCTCGCTAAAAACAAGTCTTGAGGTAGGTTAATGATGTATAGGACATGCATGATTCAAAACGAAGTCCAAGGTATTCAATATCGTAAATAAAGTTGTTAAATTATATGTGTAAGTCTGGCATGTCTTGGCATGAAACATGATTGGACTTGACCTTTCAGAAACCTGTACTTTATGTACAGTACTTCATTTTAACGACTAAGTACACCTTGAGTATTACAGTACCAGTTCAAGTACGCGGGCAATAACCGTTGGAGTACCACTAGAAGTCTAGAATTATCGCACCTTGCCGTATGTCAACAATATCTAAAGTACATTAATTACACTGTTAAGAATAGAACAGGGTGAGTAAAAAAACTAATACCTTCGCGGCTAATTTGAATAACAAAGGTGTCAGTTTTTTTCTCACCCTGTATACATATCAATCATGGCTACATTTGATTTGGTCTACAATACTGACTGTTATACAGTAGCACATCTTCTATGACAACCGAAATTCAGTCAATTAAATTTGCGTGTAGATGTTTGTAAGATTAATTTCTTTCCATAGCTCGCACATGCAGGTATTTAGTAGGTTATAAACCTTTACTTAAAACCAGATGCCGGTCTTGTTTCATTGCTAGGACGGGGGGGGGAGGATATTTGTTCAGGGCCGGGCTGCTTTATCATTTCATCTACCTGCAGAAGTTCCAATTATCATGAAAAATTTTATAACCACTGGCAAACACTCGCGCATTTTCTAGCGCCGGCTTAAGGTTTTAGGTTTTTTTTTTTTTTTTTTTTTTTTTAACAGCTTTATTAGGAACTTAATATTACATTAATAAGGTACAAATACAACAAGGATGCAGTTCCTAAACGGGAAAATAGCGAACGGGCCATAATAGCCCATGCGAGGCTACCTCCCGATTTGACTTCTGTCGACAATTACAAATTTACATAAAATTAAAAATTTAAAATCGTTGAAAGCACGTTTACACACATTCAGGCCAAAGTGATAGGACCTATGTTAAAATAATTCTTTGCACACTCTGCACTAAAAAAATAATTAAAATAAAAAATAAATAATAAATAATTTAATAATAAATAATTTAAAATAATTTGCACACTCTGCACTCCTAATGAGGATAATTTAATTCGTATTTTCAAGTGTCGTTTATTTTATATGTCACAGAAGAATACCTGTGCTGTGCCTCAAAAATATATTTCAACAGTATACTAAAACTGTCTGTACCAGTGTGGGTAGTACCAATGTGAAAATGCTGTGTTGAGTGGTTATATTACTACCTTAAAAAATAATAAACAGAAACTCAAGGTAGTAATATAACCACTCAGCACGGCATATTTCAACAGTGCATGGTTTCAATTTATAGGAATCAAAGAAAGCTTTAGATCAAACAACGTCAAACTACGAAAGCCAGAAACAATTGATTCAAAATCTCCAACAAGACAAAAAGAAAATGACGCAATTGATAAAGGTATTGATACATTATGTTGTAAATAACCTCATTATCATAATGCAGTTGTTTTGGTTTTCTTGAAATTAATGGATAAATATCTGGAATCAATGTAATATTAACCGTTATATAATGTTTCAGAAACTAAAAGGGAGTGCCAGTCTGAATACTGATGAGAAACAAAAATCAGCCAACAAGGTGAGATACTTCTTGTAAACATTTAGATTAATATCATTAGTATGGATTAAGGCAAAATTTAAGCACTCGGCGTTTGATTTTCATGGTGGTTGTTTCCCAAAATATTTTTGAAGGGGATCATGTGCATGATAGTTCAATATGATAATTAATCATAACCTACTGGAATGCGATGAAATGGAGGCAGAATACACATAGGCTTATACAGTATACCATTCTACGAAAAAGTGGGAGAAATCAACAGCATCGAGCTCATAATATTATAATAATCAGAAATTATTACAGTGCAACAGGCTATACAGTGTAATACATGCATGTGTGTAATAGACACGTTAGGTATACATGTAGTATTAAATTTAAAATCTGGTGCCAAAATTGTTCTAGTGCTTTAGTGTTTATGGTAAGGTCTAACATTAATTGAATCTGACAATTTTAATATTCCCATGTCCACTGTCATTATGACCTGCTCGGTTTACTTGACTCTTCCCAATATTATACGATCCACCTCCACCCCCACATGAACCGCTCACATTATCACCTGATGCTCCTCCTGAGTACCCTCCTCCTCCTCCAGCTCCCCCTCCATTCCCGTATGCCCCACCCCCTCCTCCAAAACCTCCCTCACCGTTTCCTGTCGAAGAGCGTCCTCCTGTACCTCCTTGGAGGAACCCTTTGCCTCCTTCCCCTCCATTTCCATACGCACCACCAAAAGCTGTACTACTTCGACCATTGCCGTTGAAACCGCCTCCACCTCCCCCTGGAAAGTAAAAGAACATTGGTTAAACGATAAGTAATCCAGGAGGAGACGCAATTGAAGAATAATATTGAAACCTAGCAAGTGACTTTCAAAACAAGACACAACAAAAAGAATAAATTGATTAACTTCAGATAAAGACGTTAGTTTGGGGACCCCAGGAGACAAATTTTAAAGGCTTCAAAGAGTGGCGTTTAAGGCTTCCAATCTAATTCTCATAGTGACATACATCATTTGTTCCTGGTATATTGAAACATTCACCCAATGGAAATGTCTGGTTAAATCGCTGAATCGTGTTGCCGTTGAAATGTTAATAAGTGAAATTCAAAAGAGTTGTGCACAGTGTAATCGTCTGAACATAAAATCGTAGCTTATTATAGACGTTTTGAAGTTTTTGTCGATTTTGCAAATGATGGAACAGTTGATACTGTACCTACCTGAATTAGACGCATCGGCATTCAATCCACCCTTTCCACCAACACCTCCAGCCCAGTTTGCACAGGCAGAATCGCACTGATTATTTCTTCCTGATGTTCCTGTATTTGCATCGCTGTTTGCCAGACGAGAAGTAGGCGATTCAATTCCTCCACCTCCTCCAGCAACCAATAGTGGAACATCTGTTGAGGTCGCTACAAACGTACCCCCTCCCCCACCCGAGCTTGGGTAGGCAGTGTTCTCCACACCTGCTTGACCGACTAAAAGTGCAATCACATCTCCTTTTTTGAAGTCAAAATCTCCTTGCATGTACGCACCACGACCTAGATAGGTTAATTCAATAATTCAGTAGAGGTCCGGGTGAATTTAATTATATCTACTATTTAGATAATTTTTGTATACTAGATTAAGGGGAGCTTTTTTGGTATGTTACGTAACACGCGCTCAAAACTAATGCGTATAATATATCACTTGAGGTTATGACTAAATTCAAAATTTTTATTTTTCGATACGTTTCTCAATCGGCAAACAAACTTAAAAAGTATGTTTAGTGCTTTATCTGTAAAATAATGCTAAAATGAAGAGATCTTAGATGATACGCCAAAGAGAAAATGATGTCTGAAGTTCCGTAAGTTTTGCTTATATGTCTGTAAATATGGCGTCAATTTTAAAGCATCATTGATAATTGTATTTTAATTGACAATTTTTAACTATTATTTTATGTTTCTCAACTGGCAGATGCATTTAAAAAGGTAGCTAACTCTATAAACTAGAGAATAAAGCTAAAACAAAGTAATTTTGAGAGGAACGCCAAAAAGATTTTAGGTTTTGAACACTTTTCATTGCAAATACGTGACATTGAAAAAAAAATGCCTCTTAATATGAACAGTTGCTGATTTGTACGTTAAAAGTTACCAGTTCCTGTAGGAAAAATATACTTCCTTGCCCAAAACATGTGCCACAAAAATGCGTTTCAATTTAGTGTCGCATATGTATGTATCATATTCTATAATTAATTTTACCATGACTTTTACTTTGTTAAGTAATTTGCATATTAATTAAGTAGAAAAACTACGTGTGAATTAACGTTAACCAAGTGTGGATAATTAATTAATTAATTAATTAGCAAGTTAATTAGAATATGGTATAAAAATTCAGTCTATTAGAAATTGAATCATGTTACAGGTTGTTGACATGACAATCTGCATCAATAAATATGACATGGGCCTTTCTAACAAGAAATTTTACCGTACACTATATCAATGAGAACAGTTATATATAGCTGAATCAGTTTATGAGCAGAAAAATGAATAAATACGAAATTTATCACTCGTTCATTTCACTGGGAAAAATACAATACCTCTCGCTCCTGACCCCTTCTTGTCGTACCCCCCGGCAGCACCCACTGCTGTTATCTGGTATGTACCAGAGTATGGTACTGTCCAGTACTGGATACCATTACTAACTGCCACCATATGTTCATGATCTTGACCAACATAATGTGTACTAAGTGATGTAGGGCCAGTGCGACCATTTGCACCAAGATTTGTAAATGTCGCTTGAAATGGTTGAAACTCGAGAGTTTGATCTAAGGACAAATAAGATATTCCCTGGATCAGAGAGTTTCCTGTTCCGCTGAACCTTTAAGCGGCAATTCAGGGGCAGAGTTGACAAACGTCAGCTCCAAGGGTGAATATGTATGATGTGGACATAAATATAAACCAGTCTAGTCCTATAGATTAGTGCTAAGCCTTGTTGAAGCTTGTAATCTCGCCCACTGTTGATGAGCGTGAGATCCTTATGTGACATCACCGCTCAAGGTGCTTCTTGACTAAAAAATATATCTCATTTTCCGCGTAATAATTATACGATAAGAAATTAAACTTTAATTTTGTATATATAAAAATTTGTTTAGTAGTAGCTGAAAATAGTTTTATAGCTATATGAAAATATTTCTTAAATACATGAACTTTGTCTATTGGTATTAGTAGTTCTTTGCATCATGAAATTTTTAGTTTGATATCGAAAATAAATTAATGTTTTTTTTTATTTTGCTGCCAGGATAATCATATGATATCTCGTGCTGCTTTTAGTTTGGAAAATGCAGTATTTTGTATAGCACTAAAAAGACCAGTTACTTTTTAAGTAAAACGCAAGCGAAATAGCGTTTTAATCTTACCATTAATTTGTTCTGACGATATTGGTTTGAAATCTTTTTGAACCTGAAGGAAGAAAAATAGTGAAAATTATTGGGTGATCAAATAAAAATATGTAAATTATTTGGTTAAAGCAATTGAGAAAGAAAAATAGAAATATCTGAACGAAGAAGTTCGCTTCAATATACAAGATAAAGCAAATTGAAAAATCAAAAAGGTCAAAAATATGAAGTTTGATTCAAACACCACTGTGTTTTAGGTCAAGACATGCACGAGTCGACAGTTCAAGAGATTGTGAATAGATTTCTGGCATTCTATATATACCTGAACTGGTTCCAAGTAATCAAAATTTTCATCTGTGACAAAATTGTTAAGACTTGTTAGATGTGTCATGTTATTTAGTTCACATATTTTCTGCTTGTCAATCTTTCTTCCATGTTTGAAATTTATAGATTTGCACTTTGAATAACGTGATAAACATAGCTGAGCACAATCTAATATGCTGTTCACTTTTTTCACGTAAAACGTGCTGGACTCTTTCAAACGAGAATCTATATTAATTAAAATAATTCAAAAATTAAAGTTGTTATGTTTGACCTCTGCATGTCACCTATATTTGTAGTGTTTCTAATTAATGCATTGAAAGTTTACAAATGAAATAAGACGAAAGGAATCATTTAAAATGGTGGGGATAGCTACAGTATATGCCATACGCGGCATATGAAAATCTGGCTGAGACCGGAGTGGTATATTTATGAAAAGTAAAGTATAGGCAACACGAATATTATTTTTGTTTCAATTTAAAGAAGGAAAGAAATTAAACATCTTGTATATTTTCATGAAGCAATGCATATTAAAAAAGCAAGGATGCTGGTAATTTATGGATATATACAGCTTGGAACATGCTATAGTCTGGACGTACGAGCATTATAGTGAACATTCTGGCTCATATGAACTGGCCCTTATTGGTGTAATATAGCAAGACGAGAGTTTGAGCAAGTCTATTTAACAATCCTTTTGAATACCTTTAGCAACAAGTGATATGGCTGCATTTAAGTTCGTCATTTTTGATACAGAAATTGTGTTGAAGAGAATTGTGGTAAATAGTGCCAGTCCCCAACACGACATATTTTTACTTCTCTCTATTTTATCCTGAAATACAAATACCTGCAATTAACCTAGTTACAAGGGCGTCAATCACATAGGGTATAGGTGGACCTAAATTCCATCACCATTTTTTGGACAGGGGGGATAAAGTAATCATAATTTACTATCAATTTATGTCTTCAAACCCAGGAAATATTTTCATGACGACTTAATGCCTGTCTTGGAGGACACGCAATGTTTCAATTCTATTCCAGAACATCCTCAGAGAGATGAGAAACCAGTTTCGTATTATTGTGACACTGTCGAGAACTGCGCGTCCTTCAAGACAGCCGTTAAGTCGCCACGAATATATTCGGTGCACTTAAATTGGATAAGACTCGCTACCAATCCCCATTGACTCGATAGCTCAATGGGTATAGAGTGGAGGTTTGTGGAGGTCTAGAAACCCGAAGATGCGAGTTCGGTCCCCGCTCGAGACAACGAATTTACTCTGCATTGTCAGAATTATATGAAACTAGTTTTTGAGATGTTTTCCAAACCTCTGAGGATGGTTCTGAAATAGATACTGCGTTTTTCACTCGACCTTGGAACGCCAATTGTTTTGTCGAAATATTGAACGCTTAAACGAAATTGGCGTTGACAACATAGTAGGGAGCTTTAGCAACGAGTACGAAATTCGTCAAGCGAAACGCATCCTGTATGCTTACGCCATCCCGCGGACTGACGCGAAAAAGTCGTATATATAGCCGTCGCCCATCTTGTAGTCCTCACGACGACTTTTTAAAAAACAAAGAAAGTTTTTTTTTCTTCTTTTCTGCAAAAACAAAGCGTGTTTATCTGGCGAATAATCTATCAATGGCAATGCTAAATATCTGGCTTGTTTTTAACTCCACTCATTCATGATTTATTTGCACTTAATTCGTGTCTTGTTTCTCATAGAAGGGGCTAATCTTGCAGGGGATGTTAGCCTGCATGAGATTTAATTTATAGAACTTTTTCTCGTTTGTTTACTGCTATAATATAAAACAGAAACGACTACGACTTCCTCGCACGCGATCGAATCTCGTACTCAGCTCCCTATAGTGTCACCGCCTTGACAACATTCATCGCGTGACGACAAAACATTAATTCGTTTGTTAATTCAAACATTTCGACAAATCAATTGCCATTCCAAGATCGAGTGAAAGTCGCAGTATGGCACGCGTGCTGCAAATTTTCAGTTGAATTATTTCTCGTTTCTGACCGGTTTCAACATTAAATAATTTAATTTAAGATAGATAAAGACGCCCTGCGAACGATATCTGTTACTTACATTTTCTTTAGAATATACATATGTGACCAGTAAGGAATTGCAATTAAGCCTTTAATAATTTAGCAGGCTGCCTAATACATACAGCAAACAAATTTAATCCTTTAATTCGTTAGTGCTATTGCACTGCATGCATTGCCATAGTAACCTCCGGGTATGCATTTATAAAATACATACACTAATTTACAATACCATAAAGATAGAGCATGTAGTATAGTTTGGCGTACCTCAAAATTCTTAACTACCGTCGAGATCTCGGTGAAACTGGTGATGTGAAGTGAATACGTCGAGGTTGGCCAAATTATACTTGACTATACATCAATTTATAATTATAATGGAACATACAGGCTCTTATGTATTGGTTCTCATATTAAAATTATCAAACTTTTGTAATCCAATATTGATCAAATCGACCCGAACGTCATTTTATATAGCAGCCATGAATAATTAAGGTGGATTTCCACTTAGGCCTGATTTCACGACCGCCATTTTCTCCACGAAATGCGAAAAATTTCGCACGAAATGAATTAACGCAATGCATACAGTAGTAAAGCCCTGATTCCACGACGGTGAATTTCTTCGTGCGAAATTGTGTGTGCGAAATGTGATGGTTGCACATGAGTGATTCTGTTGAATTTTGTCGCTTTCGCAGTGAGTAGAATGGATTTCTCTCACTGGTGAAGCGAAATTTTTTCTCGCGATGCCTAATTTATCTTTATACTGCGCATGCAGCAATTCATTTCGTGCAAAATGTTTCGCATTTCGTCGAGAAAAAGGCCTCGTGGAATCAGACCTAAAAAGGTGGTTTCCACTTGCAGAGAAATATTTCACTGTCGAAATATTTCACTTGATTTCTTTTGAATTGGAAATCCAGCTTTAACGCCCGTATTCTAAAAGCACACTCACACTCAATGAGTGGAGATTCAATCTGAGCTTCTCTTGAATGTCAATTGCTGTTTTTGAATAGCTGGAGGGTTCGTGTCGTACCTTACTATGTGATTACTCACCCTCAAGCTATTGAAAACAGCACTGACACTCAAGAAAAGCTCATACTGAACCTCCACTCATTGAGTGTGAGTGTGAGTGAGCTTTTAGAATACGGGCGTTAGGCAATCTTAGACGACGCAATGTTTGCTGCAACTTGCATCGTAATTTCGGATACGGAACCTAAAGCCCTGGGCAAACTAGGAAACGTTGAGGAAACATTTGAGATTCTCGATGTTTCCTCAAATGTTTCCATGTTTGCCCACCAGTGTTGCGGAAACAAAATTTGCTTCCCAAGAAGCAAAAATGTTTCCTACCAAATTCAGATACATTTGATGTTTCCCTATGTTTCTCACTAATGTTTCCTAGTGTTTGCCCACTCTGGGAAACATGGCGAAACATTGGTAGGAAACAATGTTTCCGCAACAATGTTTCCTAGTTTGCCCAGGGCTTAAAGAGTATAGGCGCGGCCCGCATTCTACTTGGCCAACAATTTCTTTACATAACATACCCTTAAGTGATGAAAAATAGAAGAAATGAGATGAGAAATGTTGGCAGAATAAACAGTAGGCAATGCTTACAATTTTTCTGCGACAATTCCCTTTTGATCACATGGTTCTGTATCCGAAATTAAGTTGCAGCAAAAATTGCCTGGTGTAACCTTTATAATTGGTAACAATATTTTTCTTTACATACCTTCCGGTTTTATTTTAAAAACTGCGTAGCGTTGCCTTTTTGATATAACAATAGACAATAGTCTTATATACACGGTGCTTAATATAGAAGCTGGACAATGTTTGTCAAAATACTATTGTGGAAACTTATATTTTATATTTGACACTCATGCTTGATCCATGTTTGACACAATGTAAATTAAATAGCATATTCGGACGCAGCGACTTAAATTATTTTCAACCGAGTTTGTAATAATTTAAACTAGTTTTAATGAAAACTAATTTCGGGATATCCCTTAATTACTCGCCTTTTAATCAAAAATGTTCTTTATATACTTTTGCAAATGTATTTCAAGCAGAAATGAGGAAAAGATGGGAAAAAATAAGAAAAAAATTGGGAAATTGGGAAAAAAATAAGAATATAACATACAGTCCTGTACATGCAGCTGAGTAATTAGTGCATGAAAAGCAGATGGACAGACAAGGCAAATATCAAATTAGAAAACTTAAATTTAAATAATGCACATTGCAAAACCAAGAAACACAATTTAATATTTTAAACACCTTTTACAGTAGCCTGCGAATACAGACGCCTCACATCGGGCGAAAATGTAGCGCCCAGTGTGAGGCGTCTGTATTCGCAGACTACTTTCATAGGTCGAAACGCATTTTATATTGAAATAAAATTCCAGATTTTGTAATTCTTGCCATTGGACTTTGGCTAACACATTTGTGTTACAAACAAATGTCATTACTTTTTCAGTTGAACTCCAATCTCGTACCCAGAGCATGCCTGTTCGCAGGTTACGTGCTGCGCATCTAATCCATAGAACTAATCACGCCTTACAGCTGCATAAGTGCAGAGGACGCAGCTGAAACGTATACCCGAGTCGATGGCGTATTATAGAGGGCGCTTTTGGCTGCAACCGTGCATATGACCCATACCACGCAGCACAACTAAAGCCCGTTTTCCACTAGGCTTATTCTGTGACTAGGCGAATTTGTTATTTCTATTTGTTGTGGAATTAGTTTCCTTTTATTATTACCATAAACCTCCGACTATAAGCCCTGGGCTTATATTCTTTCGTGCATGAGCGATTTTTGATGGGCTTATTCCCAGGGAGGGGGGGTTTATATACAGGGGGGCTTATACATGATATTCATGGACGATCATTTGTGTTGGTAATAAACATGTCAGTCATAAACAGGAAACTAAACATGTATTAATAACGTGCTTTGATTAACATAGTAAGCTATAAAGACAATGGCAATGTTTTTAAATATCGTTCTCTGCTATATTAAAAGACCGAATGTCAATGTTGAATAACGTAGTGGGCTACTGGGCTTAATTTATATACGGGGGACTTATATTTGGGAGGCTTATATTCGGGGGGGGGGCTTATATTTGGAATGAGGTGAGCGTTAGTACATGTGGGGGGCTTATACACGGGAGGGGGCTTATTTTCGGAGGTTTACGGTACGCGAGGTCGGAGTCGTTACAAACATAAACGTTATTTGAAGTTATTTTTGTTGTCTGTCCTGTGTTGTTCTGCTTTCACACTCTGTGTATACTCTGCATTCATCTTTTTTTATACTAACGGTCCTGGAGAACTTGTACATGTGACTGAAAAAGGTGGGCTGATTCCACAGCAGCCAGTCAGCATTAAGGTGTATATTGTTGACCTGTCGCTCCAGCTCTACAACTCTACAATTTAAGGTGTTGTCCACTATAAAAAGAACATTTTAGTCTTCGAACAGGCACTCGTACCTTGTGAAATAACGGTGAGACACTAAATTACAGTTTTTTCACCAAATGCTAAATTGGTCAGATATTTTGTCCGGACTAGAACTGTAAAAAGCAGTCTGTTTTCTTGAAAGAATAGGTTAACCATAAGCTGTGTCCGACCAAATTTGAAAGTTTTGTAACCAGAGGCAACGCTGTCAGTAACGTTACTTGTAAAGCTGCTATATGGATCATCCGATTGTGCAATACACTTCTTCCATAATTGCGTCATGCTTTCCCGGCGTGTAATACAAATTAATACAAAATTTGCAAATTTCGCAGGGCTATATTTTCCGCATTTTACAACATTTCGCGGCCAAACTTTGCAATTTTACTAATTTTAACATGTTCTTTCTCAGTGTGGTGATGGATTTTGTTCTTCTTGCCTAGATCAAAATTTAGTCTATAGCTGGAATTGCCTATTGTTGTAAAGATAAAATAGTCTATAGGCTAAATGAATAATTAAGTAAGCGTAATACTTGATGTAAAGCGCATTTGAACATATCCACATGCAAATTTGCGTTATAGAAATATTAATCGTAATCGTGTTCAATTTTTAATATTCTTTGATTGAACATATTATTTCAGTTTAATAACGAGCTTACTAGTTATATCTATTAACGTTTTGATATTTATAGTATGAACATGAAGCTGTGATATCCGAACGAGACGGTCTCCTGTTGTCTTTGAAAGAAACTCAAAAGGAAAATGAACAACTGCATGAAAATTACAAGGTAGTAGACTTTCTCCATGATAACGTCGATATGTTATAATTTATCTCCTCGTATGACGTTGCTCGTGTTAGACCTTTGCTCACGTAAAACTTACACACCGCGATCAATGGAAATCGACCTTCACTTTTACAGTGGGTTATTAAGGAGGTTCCGCTGCAGGGCTAGAATAGATTGGTTTCACTAGCTGAAAGCACTATCGTGCAGTGGGCAACTGCTAACTATAGTCACAAAAGTGAGAATTCTTTTCATTTTATGCGATAGTTAAGCATTTGAAGTCGAATAAATATAATTGAGACATATGGACTATTTCGTAACATTGTTGACACCGTATGCTGCTGAGTGCTGCCCCCTACTAAACCCCCATGCAACCAAAGGGGGCCCCAAATGAAAATAAAGTGAAATATGCACAGATCAAATTAACTCCCAGAATTTACCTTTCTAGACCTAGATTTCAAAATTCTTCTCGGGAAGAATTCTCCCCTAGATAAACTACCAAAGTACCGAATGTAGATTACGAATATTATTTAAATATTCAAGACTAGAAATCAGTTTTTCTGTAATTGAGTACCTGACATCAAAGATCTCACAGGAAGGGGATCATTAGGGCGCCAAAAGTCATACTTTATCCCGAACCCCAAACGTTCCTGGGCGGCCTTACCAGTAAAGCCTGGATGAAACGAGAAGTACATGAGAGTTGGCAGTCACGCGACCTTGGTTAGCTGTTCTTAAGTTTTTCCAACACTAATGTATTCTGTTTAAGTTAAAACATAGTCGGAACACTCACCAAACCTTTGTTTTGTTAATCTAGAGTTTCCCCCATTTTGTTAATCTAGAGCTGCCTTCCCCCTCCCCCCATAATAATTATCATGCATCCTCGTTTGACCTGCAGGGCTTAAATTACTGAAACTCTCCATGCAATATGGTATTATTGGTGTCACGTGTTTCCCATTTTTAACAAGATTTCTATTGTGTTCCAGTCTCTTGAAAAACAACATGAAAATGTGGTGTTTGAAAAGGATGAACTACAGGAGGAACTAGCAGAAATTACTCAAATTAACAATGTAAGTCGTTTTATTTTATATACAAACACTTTTTACAGTATCTAAAGGTTAGAACACGCATGTGCTCTGTGGGATATAGAGTGCCGAGAATTAGAAAAATAATTATTAGGATATAGTAAGAGAATTAGAAAAAATCTACATAGCTTACAATATTGAATTCGTTAGTGAACTCTACATGCATAGAACTGCTAATGAATCAAGTTGCACCACTCTCATTGGTGGTTTATACAGTGTATTGAATTCCCCGATGAGAGTGCATGTTTAGCAGATCTATAATGTAGTTTGATATTTATCTATGACACATCTCGAATTCTTTGTTAGAAACTAGAGCAAGATGTAAACAACTTGGAAAATGAGAAATCACATTTGGAAACCGCCATGAAAGATGTGAACGATGTTTTACGAGATGAAAGAAAGAAGATGGAGGATATATTTGATAATATGAAGGAAGAACTCAAGTCTAACATGCAGATGAATGAAGTATGTTATCATGCATATGCAATACTGCTCGGGAATATCCTAAAGCCCCGTACAGAGTTCCTTGACATGTTTACTTGCTCGGGGGTACGACGAAACAATTTTTGTGGATTTTCTTTGGCATGTTTTACAAGTCCAAAGCAACTTAATACAACAAATTAACAACAGCTAAAACTGTATGCGATGCCACACTTCAAAAGCAATTTTTTTTCTGAATAAACAAGATTAATGGCAATGGCCGTTAGAAGACTAGTGCTCATTGACGTATTGCGCGATTGCTTGTCAAGTTTTTCTTGATGGCCGTACACACGAATAATTTTCCTTATTCAAGAGCTGGCATATAACAACGCTCTTTGTCTGGGAAAAAGTTGCCTCAAATTGTCAATTTTTGCCGTACACACGAACAAGAAAAAATTGTTAAGGAGGATTGTGAAGGAAAACTCGGCTGTATACGGGGCTTAACAATGTGTTTACGTCCCATGCAGTTGCATTTCTATAATGGCGTTCAGAAACACTTTCCGCTTACACATCGTATAATAAAATCCGCAAACTGTATTCGAAGGCTATGATACCTCTTTTGTTATATTATTTGTTAAAAATGTCTCAAAGTAAACATAGATAATAAAAATCGATTTCAAACTAACTTTTATTACAATGATTTCAGGGATGGATCCAGCATGGTCCGGTAGGGGGGTTGCTCTGCCCGCTCTGGTGCCGAGTTATGTCGGTCATGTGTGCCGCCCGCCCATCAACTTGCTTCACTACTGCAAAGTCTTGCTTGACTATTGTTTTGAATTGTAATTGTTGTTCACAGTTTGCCTATGATGATGTTATTTCTCAAATTACTGTATCTCATTTGGTTTCTAATATTTTTTGCTTTATCATGAAAAATAGCACCCCCTCTGCACCCCCCCCCCCTCCATCCCTGAATAATTTTATCAACCGGAAAATTCGTAATTATGTCGTACATAGACCTATAAATGACGCGCAAAAACGTTCTTTTATGTAAACTGTCGTATTTGATCCATTTCACATAATGATATTCAAATTCAAATTTCGACCAATGAAGAAGCATGATTTATTATGTTCCTGTTTGGTTTTTTAGCTTTTAAAGAAACAGTTGACTCAAATGACTTCGGTAAAAGATGAACTAGAAGAACGTTTTGCTAAAATGAATGAAGAATATAATGTTGTCCTTGACAAAAATAAGGTAGATAAAATATGATTAAGATATAACTCCTAACTATGTCTGGGCTTTATTGTCATAATGCAATCACAATATGTTCACAAAATCATTACTCGTTGTTTCCAGGAACTTGAAAAACAACTACAGTTTACAACAGGGGAAAAGAACAAGATCCAGCATGCACTGGGAGCAGTGAAAAGACAGTGGGAGGAACACCAGACAACATGTGGTGGAAGTCATAAGGTATATGGACATTATCCCAGTTTTTTACTCATTAAATTATGATGATTTTAGGCATCTCACTCGATACAACTAATTGTTGAAGGGTTGTGTAGACGGAAATTTCAAGTGTGAATTTTATACATTTATTAGATCTAACCAGGAGCAGTGACGAAAAATGCAACCATAGGCCCTCCGGCATAGTTCGATTCCTGCCATGCAGAGCTCCTGGTTAGATCTATTAAATGTATAAAATTCAGAATCGAAATTTCCATCTGCAAAACCCTTGCACAATTAGTTCTATCGAGTGAGATGCCTAAAATCCAGATATTTACCCATACACCTTACACTGGACATCATCTTAGTAAATATACATGAACTTGCAGTTATGGCTCGACAACTGGCATCTATATCGCCCAGTTGGTTAGAGCGCTGCACCGGAATCGCAGGGCCGCAGGTTCAATTCCTACCAGAGGGCTTATATAGTTGCATTTTTCGCAGCTGCTCCTGGTTAGGTCTGATAAATGTATAAAATTTACACTCGATTTGCATCTACAAAACCCTGCTACATTAAATTATGACTATTCCCTCGAGCTATAGTTATACGTAAATAAGTAAGTCAGTGAGGGGTGCATGTGTCTCACTTGCAGTTGAGATCTAAGCTGAATTGCAAAGGACGCAGTTCAACCTGGTCGAATTAAAGGCTTTCTGAGGGTGCTTCTGGCAGCCACGTTATGACTCATGTCTGACCAAGGAGCACAGCTACGGTGGAAAGGTTATAGTTAGGCGCTAATCCCAACCCAGCCTGACAACATCCCCTGTGGGAGGAAACCGGATTACCCGGATTTTAGTTACAAAAACTAAATGATGATGTACTTTTATTATTACTATTATTTATTGTTATTATTATTATTATCATTATTATTAAGTCTTTATTAAAATAAGGAAGGAGGCACAACAAACGTGGACTCGCCATTACAATTACAATTGAGTAGAATTAATTACAGTGATTAATAGTTGAATTAGAGTTGAATTATTTTTACAGTGATTAATAAAGTTAAATAGCTAATCTAATTAAAATAGTCAAATGAGCATCTATTTAAAAATGAGCTTTTAAAACGTTCAGTTTTGATCATAGGTAGGATGAATGAGTGTTTTCTTTCTCTTAAAATTCTGGATCTCCTTTCTGAGAGTATAGTAAATGTATAAAATTTACACTCGATTTCCATCTACAAAACCCTTCTACATTAAATTATGACTATTCCGTCGAGCTATAGTTATACGTAAATAAGTAAGTCAGTGAGGGGTGCATGTGTCTCACTTGCAGTTGAGATAATGATTTCATTTTCTGGGATGTCTTCTCATAAATTTCTTTGGTAAATAAATTTCAAGGAATTGGAAGAAAGAATACAAAATCTGGTCTCTGAAAAACTTGAGATTGAAAAGTCGCTGGATGGTAGTACGGTTGAGTTAGCAACTTTGGGAGACGAGAAACAGGTAATTCGTGCATCGCCAGAGTTGTCTTTTCGTCTCGGCTATTTCATCTGTGTTTATTTGCCTGCCAATGTTGGTTGATTTTTTATGAAAGTTGGTTGTTATAGTTACAACAGTGGCGGACACTTTACGAAATATTGGGGGGGGGGTCTCGTGCCAAAAGAACGGAAAATTTTTAAATTTGAATCCCGGAAATGGCATTTGCAGCATTCTGAGAACACATTTTGTAAAAAACTAGGTTTTCAAAACACTGTTTTAATGGTGCGTTTTGTTATAAATCACATGCTAAGCATAGAAAACCAACATTTCAGAGAAAATATTTACCTGATTATATTTTCATTTGTGAATGGAATTGCAAGGTGGTTTAATTTAATTAACACGCCAATGACAATGTAAAAATTTAATCGCTAAGTGAGTGAAATTTATTTGTTGCGCGCGCTTTTGTTTTTGTTAACATAAAATTGGAATGTTAATTGAATTATCCATTGTTTTTTTAGCATAATAGTTTGATACGCATTCAAATATTATTGCGCAGCAGGAAATTTCGCAGTTTCAAACAACAAAAAATCGACAATGACATTTAAAAAAGTTGACTCCCTGGTATCCGTCAAAACGAATTTATAAAATGCGTATGTTGTGACATGTACAGTACAGAAACAAATATTATATTATGATGACAATTACGTTATATGAGTGTGATTTGTATTATTTGGTACAAGATTTTTACAGTCTTTCAAAATTATTGGGGGCGGGGGCTCTGTAGTCCCCTTAGTGTCCGCCACTGAGTTACAATCGTTCGTATTGTTTTCTCGGCCTCGAAAAGACCGGATGCGTAATTAATGCGTAGATATAATTATTTTTTTGCATGCAACGTTTTTCAGAAACTTCTTCAGAAGATTAATGTAATCGAAAAAGAAAAAGAAGATATTACGAAGAAACTTCAAGAGCAGATTGTTTCTCTTGAAAATGAATATGAGGTATGTATTCATTGGAAATGTTAAAAAAACTATGATTGAGGTTTTTTCTCTTGTTTTCTGTGGTGCACTGTTCACAGCACTAAATCATCGGACAAAAAATACAGAAGGCAGACACTTACTGTATATCACTAGTCTAGCTATGGATTCGACATTTTCAGCTTTTATATAGACACAACTCATATATATACTCAACATATATAGGCATTTGCACCAATATGCTGTAATAACACACTGATCCTTCTACTAATAACATTCCACAAATCTATTTTGCATTTACCACATTCAGTTGCATGTATGATAGACCTTTTTTTATTACTTGTTTAAATTTTGAGAGAACTTTTTGTAAAAATGATGCGCAAGAGTCTTTCTTTGAGTTCTAATAAGATGCACAGATTGTTAAATATTATAAATAATTTACCGTGAAAGCGGTGCACTAAGATCACTTAAATTTTAAATTAAGCACTATAGACACTTAACTACCACCATGGATCTTAAAAATACTGGATAGAAAACTCACGCTCACCCATGATGTTAGATGTGCTTTCAGCGTCCTGATGGCGTCTCAAATTATGACGTCACTAAATCCAAAATAGTTCCACGTTTAGCAATAGTATACAGCTGAGTATTTAAGTCTAAAAACGTATGAATATTGAACCATGCCACTCAGACAGCCTCGTCCCCAGGCTCCAGTACGTGCTTGGGGTTTGCGACGCGCAACATTTCCGCCCACGCGTGTTTCTCCCGCGCCGGGGACGAGGCTGACTCTAAAATGCAATGTCTAGATATTGTTGGTCACTTTCATGGAACATATCAAATTTGCATTAGACAGTAAAATACGCGTCTCAAAGTTCAATTATATCAACAGTAGTTTTTGTTACGCCAATTTCTTGACTGCGAAAGTAAAAAACCTAAAACAAAGACGAACAACATTTACCTCGAATACTCTGTCGTGGCACAGGCAGGTTTAAAAGACAATGAAACCATTTTGAATCTCTATAGCTACTTGAATGCTAAAAATATAGGAAAGTTGAAGAAAAACGCAGTAAACTTTGCTACATTCGTTGTATTCGTGACATCACGAATATTAAATAGGTCATGCACGTTTGCTCGCGTCAGCTGTTTCCTATCCATTGTTTAACTATCCATGCTACCACCATGGATAATAAAATAAATGGATAGGAAACTAGCTGACGTGACTTAATGTTTTTACTGGGATTGATGGCGTGGTTGGATGCCTCAACCTAGTTGAAAATCAAATTCTCAAAAACGGCATGTTTAGCAATAATACAGCTAAATATTTTAGTCAAAGAGCAAATAAATGTAACCACGCCATTCTACGATGAAAACTCTAAGTATTCCCAGTCAATTTTAGCAAATATTTCAAGCACTAAACAGTGAAAAATGCATCGCAAATTTCGTTAAAATTTGTGACGCCAATTTCGTAGCTACAAAATTAATGTAAAAAAATACAAAACAAAGACGGAAAACATTTACCTTGAATACTTTGTCGTGGCTTAGGCATGTTTTTAAAACAATTAGACCAGTTTACGCTTCAAGATCACCCTTTTAAAGTGGAAAATATAGCAAAACAACAAATAAGCCGAGAACTTTGGTAACATTCGCAATACGCGTGACGTCACGTTTTTCAACAAGGATGCAGTCAATGACGTCAGAAGTTTCCAATCCATTTATTTTATTATCCATGCTACCACTGAGCGAAATAATATAAAATATTGTTCTAAATATCTATTTCATAAAGGTTCTGCGAGAAAAAGGAAAATGTGTGAAAAATAAACAGAGAAAGGTACTGAAGCCTCTATCAGACCCTCAATTGTCATGATAAAATCTTTTAATTGTCTTCTATGCAAAGTCCTTATCTCATTCTGAGAACCCAGGTGACATGCACGTAAACTCTTATGTTAATCATATTATAATAAACCCTGTTAAATATTTAATAAGTTAAAAGTAATATAATTTTGAACTATTAAGGTGACATATGTATAACTCGTCAATGTTGTGCATCTGAAAAGATCACTAATCTGTCCGACTCATAAGTATAAAGAGGATAACATAACCTTAAAATATACGACAAGACATTGTATCCAACATTTAATTGTAAATTATAACTTTGTTTAATTGGTTTAATATAATTGGTTTAATTTAATTTTTTAACTTTATTTAATTGGTTTAATTTATTTTGTTGGTTTTTAAAGCTAATTTCTAATTGTAACTGTGCATTTTACAAAAACGACAAATATTGTAGGGGTATACATCACCTCTGCTTGTAAGTTATCACTAATATATATTATACTAATTTTAATAATATACTAATAACAGTATTATGATAACTTTACTTTCACATGTTTATGGCGAATTAATACTATTTATTATATGGCAAGCGTCACTTCCGGTTAAATGGTGGACTGTGATTGGCTGAGAAGCACTTTCAGCAGTCCATTATTTTCCCGTAATGGAACAGCGGTCCATTACGTAAAACCAAACGCATGTATTTTAAAACAAAACAGCAAAACTAATTAAAAATATGAAAATTATAATTTAATTTGTGGAAGAGTGGAAAGGAAGAAATACATTGGTATTTTTTTGTTTTCTTCAACCAAATATGTACCACACTACTAATATGCATTTCAAATCATGCATTTCTTGTTTGTTTCGATTATAAATGCCATATAATAAACTTTTTATTAACCTCCTCGCTCAGTACAGAGAAATATCAGACCTCGGTCTTTTTGTACAAACCTCACCCTACGTGCACGGTCTGCACAAAAAAGACCCCGGTCCGATATTTCTCTGTACAGACCTCGCGTTCGGCTAATAAGAAGTTAATAATAAACATATTATATTAACAATTCAGTACCAAAAATATTGTATTAGGTATAGTATATACGAAACGAAAAATTTCGAACGGGGGGCACTTGCCGAGAGGGGGGCCCCGGGCCCCCAGCTCAAAAGCAGCCCCCAAGACAACGAAGACCCTTAAAATTTATGGATAGCTGCGTTAGGCCGGGATAATATGTAATAAAATGTAATATATTGTAAACAACGCTTCTCCCGTTTTACAATTATGACCTCATAGGGGCCCCCTGGGACAGTTTTGCCCCGCGCCCCGCGCAACCTCTCGGCGGCCCTGAATGCAGTTAACATTATACTAGTGGCGTGAAGTCGGTAGATGGGTCCATGCATGAACGTTTTTATTTGGGGTAGGGCATAGGGGTATAGGATTGAGAAGTCTCGGACACATTTTGGAATATACGAGATAAATGCAATGCGAACAGTTAAAAATGCTTAAGTTGTGTAAAAAATATGGTAGCCCTACCAAATTAAACTTCGTAAAATCTATAATTGTTTATGGCTTTTCTAATCACTGTTGTTGTCTGGGCTATCGTATTTTTTACAAAATTTCGTTTCCCCTGGGATATGGATTGCCAGAGTAATTGTTACTTTGTCAATATCATTGAAAAATTTTGATAATCTGATCGGATCATCTTACTAGACTGTAATTTATCATTTCAGGAGTATAAGAATGATATGGAAAATTCCGCTCAGACTCTTGGGGCTGAATTGACTAAAGTTAATGAAGAAAAGAATGTAAGTAAGAATACATTAATAATAATTCTCTGAGCCATTTTACTCCGTTTAATGCTCGTACTATCGATGTATAAATTGGATACATTTCAAGACGGAGATCAGGAATTAAAACGGCTAGATACCGTGAATTTTATAATGTATCACTCACTCCCCGAAACTCAAACTTTTCGAACAAACTTTGTCATGTTTTCCTAGACTCTTGACGCTGAAATCGAGGAAATTTTCCACGCCCATGACGAGCTTCAAATGAAATACGATGAGGAAATAAATGCAAACAAGGTAACCATATTATAAAACAACGGTAACTCCGAAAATAAACATTTTAATCGTTCTAGCTTTCGACTAAGATTCAGTCATCATCATTTAGTTATTCCTGATGATGACTGAATCTTAGTCGAAAATTTCTAACGATTAAAATGTTTACTTCGGAGTTACCGTTGTTTTATATTTTATTAAAATACTCAGTGGTTCCCGTAATTTTTGGCGTAACTGCATGTATTGTTTCTATGCTGTTTCCCTTATATAACTGTAATAGAAGGTTGAAATCGCATCTGCATCAACAAAAAAGGAATCATTATTAGGAAAATTGTACAATATTTCTTAATACTAGACAAAATTCTCATTAATTTAGCAATTGAACGACTTAGTTCTCAAAATGAGCGAGGAGAAGGAAGCGGTATTTAAAGAAAATCAGGTACGATCACGTTGCTGTGCGCGCCAAATGTTTGAGTAATTTACTCATCTCCCCATCTCATCTTTCCTCTTATATCTCGTAAATGCTTCAATAGAATAATTGAAAGTAATTCCAAACTTCTTGTTTCATGGTTTGTAATTCTTGGGTTTCATATGACGTAACGTGGGAGTCAAGGGTCTGTATCAATGGTAAACGACGGCTTTTATATTGTTTTATATTGGCTTTATATTAGTCGAACAACTCATTTACATAACATGCGTTGACAGCCATTTTGTTTCTTTGTTGTTTCAGTTGACCTCAGTTCAATGATTGAACCCCAAATTATACTAAAATATCACGTGATTGAAACCCAAGAATACTTTTCTTACAGGTTCTGTCTGAAAGACTTTCAGAAATTCAATCAAACGAGCTGAGCACCGAATCACATTATTATACTGAGATATCGAGCCTGCAAGAAACCAACGAAAGTTTACTTCGAGTATGTCAAATAAAGCGTTAATAATTTATTTTATGCTAAAGGTGGCGTATAAAACAGGTATATGCATGTGAATAGGATTCCATCTGATGTCAAAATTGGAATCCATTTTTGTGCAGACTTGCATGTAATTGTGTGAACTGGAAAAATATGAACAAACTCTCTTTTTGTGATTGAAGGTGAAAAATAACGAAAATCAAAGTTTGGATTTATAATTTGGAAGGAAGGAGTGTATGCTCTTGTTTATTCATCTAAATATTCATAACTCATCCACTCGTTCACATCCATCAGAAGAATATACTTGCACCTAAAAATCTCAGCAAAGATTGCAAGTGTAAACGGACCTGCTAATGCTGGCCAGTGGCGGACACTTCGCAAAATATCGGGGAGACGGCGAATTAGGTTTCCAACATACGACTACCTTTTGTAGCTGGGAATGCTAGTTCGTTGGACTTTTTTGCCTTAAATTTCATGTGATATATCTTAATTTTTTCCTACCAGGCTACAAATGCTTTGATGGTTGAAGTATTGTTACAACGTTACACAGTTATTCAGCCATCATTCAAATTTTTCAGAAATCATGAGGGGGGGAGCAGTTGCCCCTCCCCCTAGTGTCCGCCACTGATTCTAGTGATTAATAGATAATGAACATAGCATACATAGACATAGTATAGTATTATTTTGTTAGCAAGGTGCCCAGTTTTGTAACTCCTATTTAGTTGGGTTTTTTTTACTAATTTATGTGTTTTTATTTTGCAGGAAATTCAAACTCTGCGGGAATGCTTGGAAGTGGAAGGCAAACAAAATAAAAATCAAGAAATCCCAGTTTTCTCAGATGAGGTTGATGCTAGAAATTTGTCTGACAAGAAGAACGGTAAATCAAAAAAGTTGGAATGCGGTCACGAGGAGGAAATTAATATTCTTGACAACAGAGTTTCTGAGTTAACTAAAGAAAAAACTGAAATTCAAGACGAAATGAAGGAAACAGAAATAGAGTATCAAAATCGTCTTGCAACGTTGTCCCAACAACTGGATGAAGAAAAACATAGAAGCAGTGAATTGGAGCAGAAAATTGGTCAACTGGAGACTGAACGACTTGAACGTAAGGAGGATGAACCCGTGCTACAAGAGAATAAAACACTGGATGAGGATAAAGAAGTGTTAAAGTTAAAGGAAGAAATCAATGTATTGAAAGATGAGTGTGAACTTCTCAAGGCAAATATTCAAAAGCTTGAAAACCAAACTGGAGAACTTCGTACCGAAGTTGGATTGTGGAAAGAGAGATATCTCGTTAAAGAACGTGAAAAAGAAGAACAAGATCAGGAACTAGTGACTCTGACTAAGTCACTGCAAAATGGAGAATTAATAGAAGAGGACATTGATGATATCGAAAATGTGTTGATTAAATTAAAACAATGTATTATCAAAACACAAGAAGAAATTTCAACTCTTAAATTACATCTTGCTCAACGTGATGATGAAATTTCAAGCTTGAAAACGAGTTCAAATTCGCTTATAGAAAAGTTAAAGGAGAAAGAAACTGAGCTCTGTGCGAAAGATGAATTATGCGGGAAAAATGAACAAGATTTGTTGAACTCTAAAACTGTTTTAGACTCGTTGTCTGCTAAACTTATAGAAAAGACTGACAAATGCCAACAACTTGCTAATAAGTTGGAAAAACATGAGCTTGCATCAAAAGATTTGGAAGAAAATTGTAAGACACTCGAAATCTTATCTGAAGATAGAAATAAACGTTTACTCAATACAGAAGAAGCTTTATCCACCGAGAGACAACAGTTAAAGGCGTTTCAAGAGACTCTTGAAAACGCACAGCAGGAGAGTGGAGAGAAGGATAAACAAATTAATAAACTACAAGAGACAATTTTAACTCTAGAAGAATCTCTGGAAGAGTTAAAAAACGACAGCCAACACAAAGAAGAGAATATTGATAAACAGAAGAAACTTTTAAACACCAAACTAGAAGAACTGACTAAAAATCTTAAGGAAAAAGAAACTGAGTGCAACAGTTTGATGGAACAACTTCGGAACCAAAATTCTGAATTAAATTCACTAAACCAATCGCTTCAGTTGCAAGAAACGGAATTTAATAGAACATTAAGTTCATCCAGTAACAAAGTTCAAGATTCACTTAAAGAACTGGAACTTGAGAAAAATAGATGTTCTGAATTAAATGATATTTTAAAAGAGAAAGAAGAAACAGAGAACAATTTAAACGAAACTTTAATATCTCTTAGGCAAGACATCCTTGACAAAGAACAGAGAATTGGTGAATTAGATGAAATAAGAAGATCGTTAGAGCTAGAGTTAACCACTTTAAAAGAACATCAAACATCTTTTCAAGAAGAAGTGATAAAGAAAGAAGAAGCGATTCAGTCGTTTGCTTCAAATGAAAATGATTTCTTGAAGGAACAAGAGAAATCCTTGCAAGATTTGAAAGAAAAAGTTGATTGTTTCTCAAAGGAGAAAGTTGAACTAGAAGAAGAAATCAATCGTCTTCGTGAAGTTGAAAGTAATACAAAAACTTACCAAGAAAAGATTGAGAAATCTTGCAAACAAATGGAAGAAATGCAAGTTAGTAATGGTAAGATGCATTCCACATTTGTTTCAACTTTTAGTCAGCATCTGAAGCGTCTCCTCTGCTTCATTTTCCTAAATACAATCTAAAAACAATTGAATCTGTGCTCTATTGTACAGGTCAGGTTCGAAACTAAGGATGGGTACTTTGTAAATTTTAAGTATAGTATTAAACATTTGAATTAAAAAATTTCAGGAGTCGCGCGAAACAGTTGTAAAAATGCCAATTAAAGATATAGCGCTGGAGCAACATTGGTTCGGATAAATATTTCCGACAATTGACCAGGGTAGCCAGATGCTGAATAAATAAGCCAAACATTGTTATAAGCGGCCCTTTGATGTATTTGTTTCCAACAAAGAAAACAAAAGGTTATTATAGTAATATTTGGCTTATTTATTCAGCAATCTGGCAACCCTGCAATTGACTGACTCTAATCTCTCTTTCTGTTCCTAGGACAACTTGAAAAACAAAATAAGGAATTACAGTCAAAGATGCACAAAATGAAACAAATGACTGTGAAGGCAAAAAAAGAGACAGAAAACGTAAAGAAAAAGGTAATGTTTAAAGTGCCACACTGCATCGTGTAAATGTGTTGGGCGTATCACCTTTATTATAAGATAATTAACATTGCGTAAATTCCTGGTTTCCGTTTGGTTGTCACTATTGCAACCATGCCACTGGGAAGATGTTTACTATAGTGTTGGTGATATATCTTTGCAATCATGCAAGTAAAGAATAATTAGTATAGAGAAGACAAGCATGCATGACTAATTCAGTTAATTTCACGTTTGTGACCCTGACTCAGTCATTCTTTTTATGTAGACAAAAGAGTATGAATTCCATGATTTTGCTTTTTTTCGGAAAGGAGCAAAGAAACAAAATCCCAAAGATAAAAGTATTAACAAGATTTGCTTTACCAAAGTTTTCTTTTTGCAACATTTTAGTTAGAAGAAGAGAAGGCCGCGTTAATGGAAGTTATTCAACAAAAAGACGAGAAGTTGCTCTCAAATTCAAATGAAGATGAAATGAAAATAAATAGAGCATCGGAGCAGGTCTGCAATATTTATTTTCATGATTTATTTAACCTGCATGTATCTTAAGTTAATTAATATATTCCCTGCCTCCTGTGCAAGCCTAAAGCCTTGGCAAAACTTCCGATGCGTGAAAAGCTCATATCTTCAAATCTACAAAGTCAAAGAACGTATCTTGTAAACAAAATGCCGTTCAGGTTCCATCATGAACATGAAGTGACGCTTATTTTCGCTTGTACAATTGACTCTATACCAATGATAACTATAATCTTGTATAAAAAAGCGTTGGTATAATGAGTGCCCTTTATTCCATGCAAAAGTCTTCAGTGATAGCCTAGATAACTGTAATTTTTACAAATCAATGGCTAGTTATACCAATGAAAATTATTTTGTTATATATGTAATGGCTATTTTTGGGACAATTTTATCAAGATGTTACAGCTCTCCAACAAACAGGCGTGACCTTCCTATGATGAAGCCAAGGCGTGAATACGGGGCAGGACTATTTCTAAAAATACCCTTGGAATAGATAGTATATGTCATGATTCTGCCTTGTTGAGTACGCATAGCTCTCGTTGACCCATATCTAGGCGTATGTGATGCTTTGATCCATGAAGAGAATAACCGTGCCGTTGCTATTATTTTTGTAAAGTTTCCTTTTATCCACATTCCACCTATACAAAAAATCCACCACTATATAAAATCGGGCTCAGCAATAATTATTGAACATGAACCCTGACTATGCATGTTACGTCCGTTTTCCACTTCAAGCGTACCGTACCGAAACGTATCAGTTAGTGAATGTTGATTGGTTAATAATTCCATGGTGCGCCAAAAAGTTGACTTGCGACGAACTTTTCATTTTGATACTCAATCTACGCATGCTCACCAGTACGTTTCGGTACGGACGAAGTGGAAAACGGCTTTTAAACAATGTAACAGATCTCTACTATTATATCCTGTTTTACCCAATAGTTGCCGAGCTATATGTAACCAATAACATCTAACTTTTATACATTTATTAGACCTATATATTAGAACTACAGGCCATCTGGTAGGAATCGAATGTACCTGCGACCCTGCGATTCCGGTGCGGCGCTCTGAAATCTAAAGGGCGCAAAGTCGATTCCTGCCAAAGGGCCTATAGTCGCAATTCTTGCAACTTCTCCTGGTAAGCTCTAATAAATGTATAAAATTCAGACTCGAAATTTCCATGCCGACAAACCCTTCAACAATGGACCATTTGCATTATAGACTAAATTTTGATCTAGACAAAAATTTCATCACAGCTTGAAAGAGCATCACAAAATTAGTAATATTCCAAAGTTTCGTTGCGAAATGTTGTAAAATGCGGATAATATAGCCATGCGAAGTTTGCCGTTTTTCAGTCATTTTGTATTACGCACGGGAAATTGACAACCCAATCGGGTGTTGGGGCATCAATTTCCCGTTTGTAATACAAAATGACTGAAAATTGCAAATTTCGCAAGGCTATATTATCCGCATTTTAGAACATTTCGCAACGAAACTTTGGAATATTACTAATTTTGTGATGCTCTTTCAAGCTGTGATGAAACTTTTGTCTAGATCAAAATTTAGTCTATAATGCAAATGGTCCATTAGTTTTGTTTTGTTTTAAATACTTTATTGGATGGTGACCAAACGGTAGGAGTGCGAACGGGACTCGAGGTTCCATGCGAGGCACTCCTCCGATTAAAGATACAACAACAGACAATACCCAAAATCCTGATATTTACCCTATATGTAACCAAGCCTGCTTATCTCCTGAAGAACTCGGCCAACTTATATTTGTTATTTGTTTAGACTGGAAGGATTAGCGAACTTGAACAAGAAATTAAAAAGATGACAGAAAGGTAAATCAAAATATCGAACATTCACATGTCATGCACCATACATCTACTGTTACAGTGCTTGGGTCTTTCATTGGTGTGTTGAATGCTTTGAAAAGGAAAATTGGTTTGGCTTTATTGTGACTGCCTTGTTAGTTTAAATATTAACGAGGCTCTGTTAAAGATAAATTCCGACATGCGACATTGCGTTGAAATGGCAACATATATACAATAGAAAATAGCGACATTTGACATGCACTTGTGCATGATGGCGACATGTAAAGGTAGAAAACAACAACAAAATTCCGAAAGCGACATAGCAATGTTTTCAAGCGGCGATAGTATTCGGTTTTGAAAATCAGACGAGTGATACCAATACTAATGGGGCTCATATCTGAATATCAAGGCTTGTACCTATATGGCGAGGGTTACTATAGTTTGAATGAATAATAATTACACATTCATCAGAGGAAAAAATTGTTAAAGTGTCAGCAATTTATAACGTAAAATTTTCATTTCTTGTTAGTATCGAAAGCTTACAAGGAAAATTCGAAATATCTGTTCGCGAAAAAGAGGTAAATGCCTGATTAAATGCTGAGGTTTATTCGTAATTATTCGGATGTTTTTCCTAATCTGGGATTATAGGTTACGTTTAGATGTCTTAGGCTTGAATATTTTTACTTCCATTTTAGTCTCTTCAAGAGAAGTTGCAGACTGTGGAAAAGGAAAATGCTGAACTAGATGAAAAACACAATCAAATTGTTAAAAAATGTGACGACTACATAACGAAGATTGCATCCATGGAGGAGGAAATCGATCTTTTGCAGAAACAAATTCATGACAAAGACAAGGAGTGTCATGAGGTAGGTGTAAAGCCCGTTTTCTTTTCCACTAAGCGATTTTGTTTGCGCGAAGCGAAAAACAAATTTCGGCAATGTGGGCAGAATTTCACGGGAGTGCAGGGAAGAGTGTCCACTCCCCCCCCCAAATCCTTGTACATCTCTTAGAATACGTGTGCATTACTGAGTACCAGACCCAATTTGCCCATTTATATGCCGGTTTAACAGTTTTGATGGCTTGCGAATATGTTTCAAGGTACCCCATCTGCACACCCACAGAAAATCCGTTTATGATGTATTCTTGAGTACTTAATTATATTCGCTGTATTGTAATTATTAACCTCATTTAATTAATCGAATTGTAAAATGGTAAGAAAACTCAAATCTTGAACATTTTTAGCTTTCAGAAAAGCTTCAGAATCTGGAACACGAACTTGATAAGGAACGAACGGATGCTGAAAAAATAAAATCTGAATTTAAAACTGCAAAAGAACAATTGGAAAGTTCAGAGAAGGTTTGTAGCTTTCACCTTGTTGGGCGATGACATCATCCCTCCACTGTCTTCTTAAGCATTTTGCGATATTAGATCAACATCCTAAACAAAATGGTGAGGTAACAAGATTTCATTGTGAAGTTTGCGGCAATCAGGTGTAATTTCATAAATCACTATGAAAGAATGGATGCAATTCCCGAACGATTTACATTCGTCAGGGGCGATCTGAAGTCGCAATGTGCCAATGTGGCTGGGTGTAAATAAAAGGCAGATCGCGGACGGCAGACCACGGACGGCGGAGCATTTTATAAACACGTGATTACTACCGCAACTAATTATAATGCCCTAAATTAAAGTATACCAGCCTTAGATCTGTGAAATGAATATGTTTTCACCCGTTGAATTTTTATGGAGGGTGATTACCGCCAAAATTAATGTTTGAATTTTGCATTCCAAGTTCTAGATTTTGTTGTTCGTTCCGTGCTTTATGATATCAATGAATTGAATTTTCATATTAAAGAATTGAATTTTGATGTTCGCAACTGCATTTGCACTTCTTTTTGCGCATTCTGTCCTTAAGCATTCCATTGTGATGACGTAACAATATGCGTGACCCTCAGAACACGATTTTCAACCCGTATTTAATGATACTTTATTTCCCGCAAATAATTTTAATTATCTCTAATTATTCCAACATTGTTACTTCGGCTGTTCGGCATACGGATAAAAATATGGCCGAGAACCGCTCAAAATCGCAAGAAGCAGCAGCTTTATTACGGCGTGCGGCAAGCATTTTAACGCAAAATTATGTAACAAGTGAATTAGTGAAGGATGTTCCTCGCAGAGTACAAGGAACAGCAATATGGGCAATACAGTGCGTCCAATTCAACCTGCCCCAAGTCAACAAGCCACAGCCTCTAGCCACGATGAATTTCGGCGACTATTCGCCCGTACAATAGGGCTAACAATAGCAGCTTCGTTCATCAACCTCCGGCGAAGCGCGGTCGAGGTAATTCTTGGGGACAATCGCGTTCTTTTAAGCCACAAGATACGTGGACACACGATTTTTTTGTTTGGCAAACGCCACAAGGGCTCGCTGAATTAACTCGTAAATAGTGCACTTTTGAACTATGCTAATGATGATGCGCCATGCACACACCACCTCACTCTATGCTAATGATGATGCGCCACCACCACACACCACCTCACTCTATGCTAATGATGATGCGCCACCACCACACACCACCTCACTCTATGCTAATGATGATGCGCCACCTCAGTCTATGCTAATGATGATGCGCCACCACCACACACCACCTCAGTCTATGCTAATGATGATGCGCCACCACCACACACCACCTCACTCTATGCTAATGATGATGCGCCACCTCAGTCTATGCTAATGACGATGCGCCACCACCACACACCACCTCATTCTATGCTAATGATGATGCGCCACCACAGTCTATGCTAATGATGATGCGCCACCACCGCAAAAAAATGGGGTTGAACGGTACCTATATTACCACTCATGTAACATTAAAATTATTTGCGGAAAATAAATTATCATTAAATACGAGTTGAAAATTGTGTTCTGAGGGTCATGCATAATATTACGTCATCAAGTGCAAATGCAGTTGCGAACATCAAAATTCAATTCTTTAATATGAAAATTCAATTCATTGATATCGTAAAGCACGGAACAAACAACAAAATCTAGAACTTGGAATGCAAAGTTCAAATATTAATTTTGGCGGTAATCACCTTCCATAAATTTTTAGCAGTGAAATTTTCTCATCAGCATTTAATACGTATATATGATACACTATACGTTGTCTTTCTCGGGAAACTTTCTCTCGGGAAATATTGTAAGAAAGCGCCTTAGTTTTTGGAGCTTCTGTTAGGCAGGGCTATTAAATGACATTCACTTGCTGACATTTTCGTACTTTAAATAGTGCTGACTTGTTGTTTTATAATGAAAATAATCTCCGTTTTACTTATAAACATAAGAGCTTCACCCGTAGCAAATGGCCTATTTGCATGCGACGACTATATTGCATATATGGATTTTAGAAATATCATATTATTCATATATTAGGGGCGGATTGATGGGGTAGATTTTCATTGAGCCCGATAATTTTTTAACCTGCTAAGTAGTCCTGCTCGATCTTTTTCTGTCATTCAAGGCTCTTGAACGATTTTTTTTTATTTCGTGGGCACATATATAAAATTGCATTGCTAAGAATTCCAACGGGTCAAAACATATTCATTTTACAGATGTAGAGCTGGTATATTTTAATTTAGGGTATTATAATAAGTTGCGGTTTGTAATAATGTGTTTATAACACGATTATTGTTATTGTTTTGTCATGCTTCTCGGAAATGTCTTTGCATTTGGCCCTAACGATTCTAGTAGTATAGTGACCCGCGAGTCTTAATTCTCATGCAATCGCTTGTTTTGTTTGACACACATGATCAGTCAATCCTCTTCGGTCGGTTTATTTATGAAACTTCATTTTCTTTTTTGTTTAGGAAGCAAATAAAGCCAGTCTAGTTGATCTAGAATTAAAAGATTGTCAGTATGCATTAGAAAATATTCAAAAGGAATTGGCGGAAAGTGGAACCAAACTACAGCAGAAAATAGAAGAAAGTGATGCACTGAAAAAACAATTACTGGAAAAAGACAACGAAATAGGTAAAAATTGTTAATAATAATATCATATTTATACTGTTTAAAAACTTGTTCCAGCAACATAAATTGCTGGTATCAACCAAGGACCTGTCGATGTCTCTGTCCACTAAAACTAAAACTATATTACTACTGTTACATTAAGCTGTGATAATTGCCTAAAAGTAGTATAAAATACATAAAATATATGTACAGATTAAGAGTCAAAGTTAAAACCTTTGCAGCTGGACTTAAATCTTAAAAGTGATGATTCTGTCTTCAAATCACTATAGGTAGTTTATTAAAAATAATTGCCCCTTGGTAAGCAAATGTTTTCTTAGGTAACGTTTTTGTGATTCGAATGACTAAGCTTCAGCGTGTGAGTTACACCACGGAGTATTTTTACAAAATAGAAACGTTACGGTAACGCCGAAAATGTGAGTTACATATAGAGTCTCAAAACATGATATGAGATGAAATTACTTGACCAAAATATACTGTATGGTTGTGTTTTGTATCATGTAGTGCAACATTTCCAATGCTCGATCCATGCACGATTTGCCACGAGCAAAAAATCGAACAGAAATGATACCGAAAAATTTCGTATGGAAACAGTTCCTGATTATTTACTGGATTTAATTTCTAATAGTTTTTTTCCGTCTTTATGACAGTTTCACTTGGTGGTAAAGTTACTCAAGCAGAGGAAAAGGAAAAGAAATTCAAGAATATCATTAAAAATGTTAAGAAAGAATTAGCTCAAACTAAAGAGCAGGTACTGTATATATATATTTAAAATACTCATTAATAATTCATAAACCTTGTGGCAGATCATTTCAGCCTTAATATGTCACGTGGAGTTACTTTATATCTGATAAAACTCATCTTCATTAGTATTCTTTATATGATTGTTCATCCTCGTATATTTTGTTTTATGAAAAAATATACCTGCCATGAATGTCCAGAAAACTAGAGAAACGTAGAGTAATATTGTCACTTGCGCAGAAACAAGTGTTTAATATCAGGCAAACAACAATTACCTCGTTATATGTTCTTTTAAGTTGGCATGGCGTAATACACATTTGTTTTGGTTTATATTATTTGCACTTATGAAGGTCCGGGCTTACCGATCGAATGCTTTGCATTATTGAATGCTTTCCACAAACCAAAACAAAACAAGTAACAAATATACTCGTCCCAGCTAGCCAGTTTACCTCGAGTGTTAAGCTGCATGGAATAATTTTTTCATTGTTGTTGTTTATCCTTACACAGGGTGAGTTAGGATAAGCCCCGCCGTATCTGTGCTCCGTGATCAAACATATGTGCCAGAGGCGCCCTTAGACTTAGTAAGCCTTCGACTTGATCAGGTTGAGCTGCGTCCTTCACAATTCAGCTTAGCTCTCAGCTGTGAGTAAGGGTGATTTAGTATACCCCACTCACATACTTAGAGGCAAACGGTGATGCTTGACCTCCTCCGCTGGCAACTTTGCAACAAACGACCATTATTTTGCAAGTAAGTCAAGAGGTTGGAAGTTAGTAATGGAGAGAGGAGTGGAGGATTGGGTAATTCCAGTGTTTGGCAAAACAGTTGCCTGCGAAGAAGGCTATATTGCATACCAGAAGCAGCAACTTGATTCTTTGGTAAGAACCTTAAAGGACGTGTTGTACTATAGCTACATTTTTTGTTTACTGTAGCAATTCAAAGATGTGTTACTGTTTACTGTAGTAATTCAAAAATTGTTGTTTTACTCAAATTTTAGGAAAACGAATCTCAGATAGTTCAGAAAAATATCCAGGAAGAACTTGAAACAAAGACACATGAGAACGAAAACATTAAGGTACCAAATAAATATTGTATTTTTCTTTTCACTGCATGTCAAATACAAATTATACGTCAAAACAACGAGCGATGGGTAACTCAATGGATGGAGAACAATAGAATTTTCAAAACAATGAAAAGTCAATGAAAAATTCCGATCAATGAATCCTGACAGGATGGCACAATTGTTGTGCTTACACTGCTTAGTGATATGCGATGGGGTGGGGTAGTGTATTGCAAAGGACTATATTCAATCGACATCTTAATTGGTTTCTGGGAACTGCCAACAACACAGATATCGTGATAAAGGCCCAGTTCCACAACAAGCGAAATGCGAAAAATTTCGCGCGAAAAGGTTGAACGCACGCGCAACATGATTTTGGAATCTTCACCAGGTAGTTGAATTTGTTTCTACTCCGTTGCGAAATGGAAATAGCGAAGCCAATCAAATGCTTGTGTTTTGTATGACAAAATAGCGAAACCAATCAAACGCTTGTGTTTTGGCGAATTTTTTCTCTACTGTGGAAATCATTACGAGAGAAAATTTTCGCACAAGTGTGTTTTCACGCGAAAGTTTTAGCATTTCGCTCGTCATGGAATTAGGCCTTAAGACGTGCTGTCTTGTGCAAATATGATCAGGCTAGTTCCATTTTGTTCCTAATTTCATGCACTTAACCGTAGCGACATGGTAACAATGACAACACGATATATAAAGCGATGTTTGTGTTTCATGTTAGGTCCAGCTGTCAGTGATTCATGCGGAAAAGCAAACGCTTGAACAACAGGTAAAATATTTATATCTAATTCTTCACATGTAAACTGTTCAAGGTAAGCTACCATTAATAGTACAACCTATTAATTGTGATAATGGATATATTATAGCTTCATTCTGTTATTGAAAACAATAAAATAAATTTGGAAAATCTTGATGCAAAGCTGAATCGCGTGAAAAGCGAATGTGAGGCGCTGAAACAAGCAAAAGACGCCCTGCAAAATGAATACGAAAACTACAAGGTATTGAAGACATGAATTTACATATACTGCATGTAAATCCTCCAATTAGCCAATCATTAATCTACCCAACTTTTTTTAATGGAAAATATTATTAACACTCTTCACAATGTGGGAAAATATGACTGCAAGTACTGTAAAAGGTAGTGGCGAAGCTAACCATATTAAATATTCATATTATTTAAACCTGTAGAAATCTATTGTCTTTAAACTATTCTGGTGCAAGTTTATTAGCATAGCGTGACAAGTTGCCATGGCTAGCTTCACTGGTAAAAGCTTATATTGTACCAAATAATTGAGGAAAATTAACACGTAACGTTTCATTTAAAAATCTTTCAGACGAGAGTGCATAGTGTTTTGAAGCAACAAAAGGCAAAGCCATCAACACCAGTAGCAAATATGGAAGCTGATGAAAGGTAA